CAGGCATGAATCTTTTATCTCGAGCAGGATGATGAGAGGAAAATAAGTATTGTCCATTCTTGGAGTTGGTTGTCAACTTTGTCTTAATGATATACAAATTCTGGTATCAAGGCTGGTAGAAGACATTGTGCTGTCAGAAAGACCAGCAGCAAATGGCACCCACCCCTATAGTCAAGGTATTTTAGCTCAATACGTGAAAAATCTACAGACATATCTTCCCCTCCTGGTTGTAAAAACACAGAAATATTAAACAATCAGCTACCTTTACCTAGATTAGATGCCTCATGCTGCCTACAGATAGGATAGGCTTGTGCTACATCTCCTAAGTGAATGTTTAACTTCTAAGGCAATCTGATTTCACATGTACAATCTGCCCCATATTGTGCATCTTCATATGTTGAAATGCCATGATGGCCATTTTCTTTCTGTTAAAAAACTTCAGATCCTGGTAGGAGGCATTTAACTCATGATAATCATGTGATCCGTCAAGGCCATTTTGGTGGCCCTCAGAACTCACAGAATGAAGGAATTTTTATACAGTATATGCATATAATTGATGCTTTTGAATTGTGGTGCTGGAGGAGACTCTTGAGAATCCCCTGGACTGCAAGGAGAACAAACCTATCCATTCTAAAGGAAATCAACCCTGAGTACTTACTGGAAGGACAGATCCTGAAGCTGAGGCTCCAATACTTTGGCCATCTCATGAGAAGAGAAGACTCCCTGGAAAAGACCCTGATGTTGGGAAAGTGTGAAGGCAAGAGGAGAAGGGGACGACAGAGGATGAGATGGTTGGACAATATCATCGAAGCTGCCAACGTGAACTTGACTAAACTCCGGGAGGCAGTGGAAGACAGGAGGGCCTGGTGTGCTCTGGTCCATGGGGTCACAAAGAGTCAGACACAACTTAACAACTGAACAACAAAATGTGTATCCACAATTTATAATATTTATATATACTATCTTGCCATTTCGAGTTTTATTTTTTGTACTTTTGTGCACACACAAATATATATTTTTTGATGTTTGCATACCCTTCGGTACTCTAGGAGACAGAAAATTGGCCCCCACAACCACCAAAATTGTCCTACCCCTGTTCTAAGTGGTGCAGAGTATGTAATGTATGCTTATTTTTAAAATACCTATTTTTGAAGGAAAAACATAAATATTTGTTTATGCAGCCACTTCTAGTTTCATTGGAAGGGGCTGGTGCCACCCCAGAGAATCCTATGGTTGAAAAAATGGACTGTGAGGTTTTCCCATCACTGTTCTGGACATATGAAAACATACCTGGCTATGGAAATTCACTGAGGGTGGGGGTGGTAATGATGGCAGCACTGGTAAACCAATTGTTTAATTATCTCTCATACTTTGGAAGCCCTACTAGGGTCACTTTAAATCAGATGTGATTTGACAGCACATAATAACAAGGGTACAAATGGTGTGTGTGTGCCCCACAGACAACTGCAGATATGCTCCCAAGGCATCACTATAAATAGTTGTATATCTAGGAGCCTGTCATTTAAAAGTGACTTATGGGATCTACTATGTATCAGCCATCACTCACTCTGATGTTGAGGCTATGAATGTTTTTTCTTTTGAAATCAGAATGGTACCACAAGAGGGGAGGTATCCATAGGTTTGAGGAACCTGAAGTTTGAAGGTGTCTGTTATGCTTAACTGGCTGGTTGAGGACTAAGCATGCTCTGTAGGCCCAGAATTTGTGACATAGACCATAGAAAGAGGATAGAGCCGAATAATCTGAAATCTAGATCAACAGCCACAGTTGCAGGTCACATTTCCTAAAACAGTTTTCATTTTCATTATCACCAATATATATTTGACATTTTTCAAATTGATCAGATAAATGATCGTTTAATCAAACTGGAAAATGTCAGATACATAGGGTACCACCCTGTTTGTTTAAACAGTACAATAAACACTGTAAGCCACAATACCTCAATAATCATTAGTACACAGTGACACCTACAGAGAGTATGATGCATAAAATGGTGCTTTCTAACATTTACATACCAACCCTTTGGCTGCTTGTAGTTGCAATTAATCCTGGGAGAATTAATTCATTATTCTGATACTGGATGAAGATAGTATGTCCATTGCATTCTTGCTAAATTTAGTAAGATGAGTGAGTATAAATCTAATGTTGTATCAGGCACACAAAATAATTACTGTGTTAATGTGGGTTTGAAATGAATTACAAAATTCATATTTAGTCATTAAGAGCAATCAACTAGCCACAGGTTTTAAATGAGTAGAAAAAATTTTGTACAGGTTGTTGCTTCTCTTTTGCTTAATAATGTCTCTAGAAGATCAAAACTTGGAAGATTACTGCTTTTGAATTACAGTTTCCAGAAACTTCTCCAAGCTCTGGGGAACCCTGAAATAAAAAGGTCTAGCTTATAATCTGGAAGGATATTACTATGAGTATAAAACCTACAAAAAAAAATTGTAATTGTCCTTATGACTTCAAGGTACTCATTGTTGTTAATAATTCCTCATTGTGAAAAATATAGATTTGACATAATGAAGAGCCTTCTTCGAAAAATATGGAATCCTGCAATATTCACATAATTACTGTTCCTTTCATTTTATTGCAGAATAATGTGCATTTATCTACATATTTACCTCACTTTGAATAGGTGATGCTGTGGCAAGTCTACGATTTGCTTTGCATTTTTTTTTCAAAATATTGCTTCTAATTATACACCTTTTCTAAAGTACAAGAGGACCTTTCCTTTGAATGTCTGTGTTCTAATTCAGTGTTGCTCATGCCTAAAAAAAGCAAGAAGGATCCTTATAAAACTCTAAATGTAAAACTATTTTAAACCAGATGGTGCAACTTTTGTGAACTTGCCCTTTTTAATGGGTGTGCCAATACTAGGGGAGAGAAAATTTCCACTCCTAATATGACAACACAAGCCCTAGCTCTTCAGTTTTGTTTTTACTAAATCTGTCTGTCTAGTAACATGTTGGTTATACACAAAAAATAAATATATTGAGCTTCCTAACTTTTTTTAAAAGGACTTTTATGGGCATTTTTTTTTTTGAGGTAGGAGTTTAAGGGTTTCTGAGTCTGCACGAGCTGAGTAGAACTGCTGAGGACAGGACGTTTTGGACATCACTCATTCATAGGGTTGCTTTAAATTGGAAGCAACTCAACAGCACACAACAAGAAGAATAATGGTTTCTGGAGAGAATTCTAAGATCTACAGTATAGCTTGCAATTCCATTACTTGGAGGAATGTGGAAGAGACCTGGTCATGTTGGGCATAATCCAGCCAAAAGGACAGGATTAATATAGTCCAGTCCTCATGTTGGGCATAATCCAGCCAAAAGGACGGGATTAATATAGTCCAGTCCTATAGTCTAAATACGATTGCTAGTGCCAAATAGATTAGACCTATTGAATCAGTTGCCGAATAGTGATCTAGCACATACATTTTGTCAGTTCAGATTACCCATTGATATAGGCCTATGATTTTAATTGGGGGCAATCCCCCTTGAGTTTAGTACCACCTGCTCTTCACTAAGGTGTATCTACTATTGTAGTCTTAAATTTGTGCTTGTTTGATTGAGGACGTTATGCATATGTTTAACTCTACAGTTGAAACAGCTCTATGGCTTGAAGAGCGGGATGAGCGCCGCCCCCTAAAGTCGGACAACGACTAGACAAAAATTGTCAAGGGGAACCTTTACCTTTACTTTTTACCTATAGTCTAAATACAGTTGCTAGTGCCAGATAGATTAGACCTATTGAATCAGTTGCCGAATAGTGATCCAGCACATACATTTTGTCAGTTCACTGGGTCTGATCTAACTGGGATTACCCATTGATACAGGCCTATGATTTTAATTGGGGGCAATCCCCCTTGAGTTTAGTACCATTTGCTCTTCACTAAGGTGTACCTACTATTGTAGTCTTAAATTTGTGTTTGTTTGATTGAGGACGTCATGCACATGTTTAACTCTTCAGTTGAAACATTTTAGCTACTCCATTTGGCCATTTGTAAAATGGAAATTTTGCATGGAATCGTGGACCAAAGTTTGAAAATATGGCCTGTTCAAACTGAAACATGCATCACGCTGTTCTGTGTTGTAGTAGTGCTATAGAGCAATGCCTAGAAAGGTCAACATGTACATGCTCACTGGAAGCTAGATGGATTTGTGTAGTCTGATTCAGGTAAACAACTGTACCTTGGAATGATTATCGGGCACACACACACCAAAGGCTGCTACTGTACACCTCTTCATTTCCGATAAGGTATCAATTCTACCTCTGAAATGCAGAGATAGACTATCACTAATACTCAGTTCTCCTGACAGTGTTTCAAACAAATAATGTTTGTGGCTTCCAGTGCTGAAGAATGGGAGGCCTTTACGTCAGTTGGTTCTAAGTTACAACAGTTGATTCAGTACATCTACGCAAGTTGGGACTGGCAATAGGATCTAAGCCTTGGGAAATATATAGGTCAACCAGAAATACACAAAACTCTATACAGTTTTTTGCACTTTTGTTCTCTTAACTCAGATGAGAGAGTACAGTAAGAAAAAGAATGCAATAAAATACTTTGGATGAAAGTTAGGAGTCACTGAGGTCATTTGGATTTGAGATTTCCTTCTATATGTGCATATAGGGCTGGCTGGATAGCTCAGTGATTTAGGTATCTGACTGTGAAGCCAGAGGTTGGGGGTTTAGTTCCTCAATGTTCCTCCTGTGCAGCCTTGGACAAGCTATGCAGTCCCAGAGCACCCCCAGAAGAAGGGAATGGTAAACTGCTTCTGAGTATTCTCTACCTTGAAAACTCTGAAAAGGGTAATCAGAATTGACTTGATGTGTCATATGATTATTATTTTATATGGGTATGAAACCAGCAACATAAAACCTGGAGATGAAGCAAACACTTCTACATTTTTAAGGTGATTTGATTTTGGATGAATGGTGTTAATCTCTGTGACTATTTTCTAAAAATTCTCTTCAGACACCCCTTTATGTGGTCAACCATGGTGAAACTGGACCCATTCGATGCAACAGGTGCAAAGCTTATATGTGCCCCTTCATGCAGTTCATTGAGGGTGGAAGAAAATATCAGTGCGGATTTTGTAACTGTGTGAATGATGGTAAGTAATATCAGAGTGATGTTTTTGTGTGCTTATTTTTTTTATTTTGAAATTAAAGAGAAATCACTTTCTGAATAAATGCTTTCATAAAAAAGAAAGCATTTCAAAACTCTATTTCCTATTCATTCCAGTCCTAAACTTATTTACTTTAATGTTTCTATCACAGTTATTTATGGATCTGGAAGAACACTCAGGTAGAAATGACACAGTACCATCAAATTGTGTTGAATCTTTTCTTTCATTCCATTAAAACAGAGTGTGAGGAATAGCACATGAATAGTTCAAAATAAGGAATTGTGTATGAAAAGTCACCACTGCCAACCTATAAATGTGAGACATGATCTTGAGAAAGTGAAAGAGAGTTTTAACCTTTCTTTTTAAAGTAAAATTATCACTCTCTAATTACGAATGGTATATACAGTATTATGTATTTTGCAATGATAGTTGAAAACAAATCACCAGGGAGCCTTGAAAGAAATTAATGGTAAATGTTATCCTGTTATGTTTCCATGATTGGAAGGATCATTTCAGCTAAATGGCAGAGAAGATGCTCAGGAGCCATTCTAGTCCTCCACACAGTTGTTGGGACTGTTTGGCATTTATGCTTGGAGAATGCAGCTGAAGCTGTGATTCTTGAAGAGAAATGATGTGACTGAGGACTAGTAATAAAAAGAAAGAAAAAGAGAAGAAAAGAGAGAGAGAGAGAGAGAGAGAGAGAAACTTGCCATTTTTAAAATTTAGGATATTCTTTTAAAGATAATGTGTGTGGGGGGGGGAGAGTTACTTACTTACAAAAATCCCTGAAGATGGAATTCCAACTTGATGATCTGCTTGTAAAAAGACAATTAGAGAGAGGTGGCTAGCCCTGCCCTGCCCTCATTGCTTTGAGGATGCACACAATTGTGAATTTGAAGATGGTTCCTGCATGTGTGTAACTTCTACACATGAGCAAGAACCCAGATTTTCCAGATCCTTATTGATGTCTACAGGAAAGGTGGTTACTGATTAGGGCTTAAGGATCCCGTTTAGCATGTAGACCTAGAAAATACAAGATGAAGACAGCATCCAGGGCATCTACCAGTCTACTGCTCTTTCACTGGTTCACATCACTTATTGCATACACTGATTCTCTGTGTCCTCCAAAATGAATTCCACATGAGATTAAACATTTCAGTTGCTCTAAGACAGGGGTGTCCAACCTTTCACCTTCCCTGGGCCACATTAGAAGATGAAAATTTGGTTTGGGCCACACATACATTTGATTTGGGCCGCATAGGGGGGCAGCCTTAGGCGTCCTCTTCAGCCCTGTTCCAAGTGCCCTGCCCTGCCCTCATTGCTTTGAGGATGCACACAATTGTGAATTTGAAGATGGTTCCTGCATGTGTGTAACTTCTACACATGAGCAAGAACCCAGATTTTCCAGATCCTTATTGATGTCTACAGGAAAGGTGGTTACTGATTAGGGCTTAAGGATCCCGTTTAGCATGTAGACCTAGAAAATACAAGATGAAGACAGCATCCAGGGCATCTACCAGTCTACTGCTCTTTCACTGGTTCACATCACTTATTGCATACACTGATTCTTTGTGTCCTCCAAAATGAATTCTACATGAGATTAAACATTTCAGGTGCTCTAAGACATCTTGCTGTCCTGCTATGCGCCAGCAGTGTAACTTTAAACTTTGGAATTTCTTTAAAAATAAAAAATTGCACTGGGCCGCATTACGAGCTGACCTGGGCTGCATGTGGCCCTCAGGCCGTGGGTTGGACAAGCCTGCTCTAAGACATCTTGTTGTCCTGCTACTACTGACAATTGCACTCTCTTTTTTCAGCATATGTAGTTTTTCCTTTGCATATACTGTACATTGATATGTTTTCAGCCTACCCGTACAATTAATTTTCAGATATTACTCATAATTTTCTGATAAGTAGGCACAGGAGTACATCTTCATCTGCATCTTGCCAGACCTATATGAATTAAGTTTTTCATTAAATAGTTGACTTGTGCATTGAGAATGTTTTCTTGTTGTCTTGATGTTGTTTTATGGAGACAACTGGTTTTGTTATGGGCTGCTAATCTTCTCTGTGTCATCTTGGAATAAAGGGTATGAGTGAAATTCAATCAGCCATTTGGTCACAGCGCCTGAGGAATGTGTTCTGCAACAACATAGCTGCCAAGGGCACAAAACAGCACAGCAAAAGTTTTCTGTGGGCTTAAAGTGGCAACAAAATGTCCTTTCCAAATGCCAGTAATTTAGAGTGTTAAATGAACTGCCTTTTTGGCATGCGGGACAACAACAACAACAACAAAGTAAAATTAAAATAAATTGCAGTGGGCAGTTACTAGCCATTCCCTAAGAAATTTATATAAGTATATCCTGCAAGGATGACCAATAATAATAATCATAATCCACACAATAATCATAATAATAATCATAATAATCTAAGAAGTTAGTGCTAAGAGCAAATGTTGACTCTGCCAAGAAAAAGATGAAACTGTGTCACAACTCATCTGTGAATGTCCAAAGATTGCACAAACAGATTACAGAGTTAGACATGATAGAGTGGCAAAGTTAGTGCACTGGTCATTATGCAAAAAATATAACTTGCCGGCCTCCAAAAACCCATGGGAATATCAGGTAGAGGTGTCAGAAAATGAGGAAGTCTAGATCTTGGGGGATTTCTGGATCCAAACGGACAGACACCTTGAACGTAACACACCAGACATAGTAGTAATAGGATGAAGAAATGTCCGGATCATTGACATTGCAATTCCAGAGGATGCCAGAGTTGAAAATAAAGAATTGGAAAAACGAACAAAGTACTGAGACTTGTCCATTGAAACATCTCAAATCTGGAAGAAACACTCTTCAGTGGTCCACGTAGTCATTGGGGCTTTGGGCACAATTTCACACAGTACTACAAGCAGTTGCAGATCTCAGAAATCACACCACCAGAGCTAAAAAGAACGGCAATATTAGGAACAGCATACATACTGTGCCAATATTTAACATATACTGTACTTAGAGTTTTGTTAAAACTTGTTTCTGTTATATAATACCAGTCAATGTTTTCATAATGTTGATGGTGCCTGGAGTTTTTTAACAACGACAACCACCACCACCACAGTCAATGTTTTCATAATGTTGATGGTGCCCGGAGTTTTTTAACGACAACCACCACCACCACCACTGATGATGATGATGAAGATGATGATGATTATGATAGTTCCTTATTCCTGGTACGAGCAATTCTATAAATGATGATGATGATGATGATGATGATAGTTCCTTATTCCTGGTACAAGCAATTCTATAAATGAGCCGCATGGTGTAGTGGTTAAACTGCAGTACTGCAGTAAAGTTTCTGCTTATGACGTGAGTTCGATCCTAATGGGCTCAGGTAGCCAGTTTGAGGTTGACTAAGCCTCCCATCCTTCTGAAGTTGGTATGTTGAGTACCCAGCTCACTGGGAGGAGGGCAATGTGTAGCCTGCATAATTAAATTGTAAACCTCCCATTGAGTACTTTAAGCATTGTGGGTAGCATAAAAGCAGTACACTTTGCATAAAAGGACAGTGCCCATTGTGGTTGGTGGGGCTGAAGACAGAATGAGTCATGCTGAGCAGTTCCAGAGGCTAACATGGCTGTATATTCACATACACACCCACCCGTTGATGTTTTCTGTTACACACACACTGGCAGGCAAGTATTTACACATACACAGAGAAGCTGTCTGCCTCTGGTAAGGAGGCAGGCGGGAGTGGGATAATGGAGAAGGTAGGCTTAGTCTGAAGCTGGGCAGTGCTCTATTTGCCCTTATGGGCTGTTCTAAAGATTTACACTTTATCTGTGATTTCATTCAAGCAGAAAGGTACTTAAACAAGGTTGTATAATTGTTTGAGATTATTTCTGAAAAGGCTGAAAATTCTTTTTTTTTTCCAGCCACCTGGAAAAGAACAACTATTTCAGGCATCACCTCCTCTTTTTTTATGACAGAGGATTTTAATGGTTAAATCATCCATTAACTTTACTGTGACAGGAGCTGCTTTGAAAAGGAGATGCCATGCCATATTTGTCCAAGCACAGTTGCATGTGACTCATAAGTATGAGCTCCTGAGCTTCTGGCTGGGTCCCAGGACTTTGCCAGAATGAGTCTTTCGAGACATTTGTATCTAGATGGATTTCCTCAGCCGGATCAAAGTGGCATAGAGCTTTGCCTAATACAGTAATCTTTTCAACTTTGAAACATGAACCTCAAAAGACTTATGCCAACTCTTGTCTGCTTCAAAACCTAATCTGTGGAACGAAATGTAAGGAGCAGTCCACTGCAGGGGCGTTCACTTACTATTCGCTTAGCTATGTTTACTATTCACTTAGCTATGCGTTACTGAGCTACTATTTAATGAATACTACATATTAAATAGAATAGTCTGCAGTTTTGTCTGTATGCTTTCATACACTTTGATTAAAACTTCAGGAAACCATCATGAGCAGAGAACATTTTGTACACTTGTCGAACAGGTAGCAGGCAACAATGAAGGACAAAGATAAACCAAGGGTAAAACTACATGACGGGCTTAATACTTTTTTAGAACAGGTGGTCCCTGAAGTGGTGGCAGGTATTTCTTGATTGTAGCATGTGATTTTTTCCTCAGCTGTGTATGTTGTGTTCATTGTGTTTTGTTTTGCAATTGGCTGATGGAAGGTAAACGCAGCTTAATTTGCAAGTCCGATTGCTGAAATGTGCATCTCTGGAGAAATTCTGTTGACAGAAAATGAGGGAATGTGCATTTCACTTCAAGGTCATAATTCAACTGCTGATTTATGCTTGCATAAGTGAAATGGCGAAAGCTGCAGTGGTAATCTGCTAATTCATGAGGGCCCTGATTGTGTTCCTGGAACTGCTGATTTATGCTTGCATAAGTGAAACGGTGCAAGATGCAGTGGTAATTTGCTGCTAATTCATGAGGTCCTGGTTGTGTTCCTGAGCCTGCAACTGGCACCTCATTAATTAGCAAAAATCTGGCTCTTCCAAATTGTACCTTTTCACTTCTATATGAATTGGCCGTTGGTTACTGGTCAATGTCTACTTCAACAAATATCGTGGTTTTGCACCTACTGTAGGACTTTATATGACAATTGTAATATGGTTGTTTTTCTAGACGAAGATAAAAGAACATAAGGGGCCTGACAAGTATAAGAGCCCCGTTCAGTCCTCATGTAATTCCCTTGTGAATGTGTGGGTGAACAGAAAAACACTATTCCACTAAGTAGGGTGTTTTTTTTTATTGTTGTTGTTTTTGATGTCTTGCAAGTTGTCTTGGGCCTGGCTGGATCTGTGAATTGGGAATCTGACTCCACAGCCAGAGGTTGGGTGTTCAATTTCCCACTGTGCTTCCTGGGAGAAGAGCCAGTCCATGTGACCTTGAGCCAAGTGCACATTCCTAGAGCACCCCCCCCCAAAAAAAAGGGAATGCCAAATCACTTCTGAGCATTCTATAGGATTGCCATAAGCATGAACTGAGTTGATGGCACAGAAGTAGCTATTAAGTTGCCTTGGGGTTCATTTGATGGAAAGTCACTACTTAAACATGTTCAAAATAAATAATGCATACACCAGTGGGTAGGGACTTGTGCATAGTGCCATTCAGATTGATGCAGATGACATCTTACCTGACATGGCAATCTCTAATTCAGTAGTACAGTATGGATGGGACAAGTTAGGGGAATCTAGAGTTACATGGAAAGGACTGCAAGATCTTTATTATTATGGGGAAATGTGTATTACAAGTGCTTTCACTCTCATTGCCTACAAATGTGAAGGGAAATCATTGTAAAGAGACAGGAGATTAAGTCTATTCCTTGGCTATGCAAAAATGGTAAAATGAAATATCTTGAGATGTAGAACTTTTTTTCCTTTTTAAAAAGTCTTCTGATGCTGTTCTTTTCATGTAAAATGTATTGAGCTACTAAATATTAGCACACTAAAAGCAGCACAGCACAAGTTTCTTTTGTCCAATTGTGTTCAAAGAAACAGGAGAAATTGCCTTTCCTGTTCTTGTTTCTTTAGTCCCTCCGTTCTATTTTCAACATCTGGACCATGTTGGCAGAAGAATAGACCACTACGAAAGGCCAGAGTTATCTCTAGGATCATATGAATATGTTGCTACTTTAGATTATTGCAAGGTAAGTCTGCTTAGCATGGAAACAGGTTTTTCACTCTAGGTGCCAAATCAAGGAAATCCAAAATTCCAGCAAAAATGTCTGGCATTGGACTATAAAATTGATAGGTGGCAGGGGAATGAAAAACCAATTGCCATCAACAATTTTGAACTAAAATTGAAATAATTCTAATGTACACCAAATAGGTTTAGGGGTACCATCTTATCTTTCATCTCACTTAGACTGTAAAGCAGTTTTAGCCGGTCTTACTGTGGATTGCAGTAGAAGTCATTGTCCTGTCGAGAAATGTATGAGTGAATAAACTTCCAACCTCAATCAAATTGCTAGTCCCAACTAAGTAGACTTATAGCATCAATAGGATTTATGTAAAATGCTGATTTTGGTAATTCAGAAATTAATTCATTGAATTCAGGTGGCAATTCAGCAACTGGGTTTTTTTTAAAGATCTGCTTTAGTTGAGAAAAGCAGTGGGATCTAGCCCTCTGACTATATTGTTCTTCTGCAAGAGCTTCATTTGTTTCAATGGAGATGCACATTGTATCATTTGTTTTTGCAGTTACACATGCGAGCAGGATTGAATGAGCAATATCACTTGTATGTTTCAAGAGTTCTGTGTTATACTTGAGCTTGCATATACCTTTGGATCAGGGTTGATGAGATTATATTATTTTCCACTCTACAAGATGTTCTTGGTTTGAATTATGGGCTGATTTGTCTATATCCCTTTTACTGCTGACAGCCCACATTGTTAAGTCTCTCAATAGTATGGCACAGTCATGATTCAGGGAATGCTCAATATAACAAAATTGGGATAATGCATCCCACCCACCCCCATCTAAGGGAAACCACAACTTTCCTTTGTGCTTATTGCATAACAATGGGAGTGAACAGCTAGGGAAAATATTAACGAATAACAGCTGTTGAATGGTGCTCTGATAGTTTGTAATGGATTTAGCAAATACAAAGCATTTAGATTTTTCAATAAATGTGCCAGAAAGTTTTAGCCAAATGCTTTTAATAAACTGCTATAGAATTTACATAAAATAAGAAAAATTTTGCTAGTTAGCTGCTAATGCTGAAATTGGAATAGCTTCTAAGAGCTCAGATCTCCATTTAGGTGAGTGAGGGCTCTCATTTTACAGAGTAGCATTGCTTTTGGAATCCACGGAAAAAAGGTGAGGGGAGAATAGAGCTTTAGTGAATTTATGGCTTAAAGTGCACTAAACACAAAACCTGCACTCATTATCACCTTGTAGCTGAAGCTCTGTGCTAAGTGAAATGGAAAATTGTATTTTTTTAACCATATCCACAATTGACCTGGGCCTGTTTAGGTGAACTTTAATGAGTTAATCATGAGATAGGAAGTACCTTTTTCATAATACTTGGCAGGTGCTACAACTCAAACTGATTGCTTGATAGGGAAAATATCTTGGGAGCCTCTGCTGAGCATATATTTTAATTCAAGGAATATTTAGACTCCAGATTGTGATGAATAGTATCATCTTTATGTATTTGGAACAAAAATTATTCTGCAAGTGATTGCAGTGGATATCTGATACCTTGATTGCCTTCTCATAAATTGTCTTCCTGCCAGTGTCCTCTTAGAAGAGAGCTCTGAAAGAGAGACACTTGGATTATACTGTTGGTGGCTTAATTCTCTAATGTATTTAATTCATCGTCCAAGCATTGCTAAGAACTGAGCAGAAACAAAGGAGGTGTCAGAGTGCTTTTGACTGAATTTTTAATATGCCCCTCAAGAAGGCAGCCCATATATTTGTGTTGGATCCAGACTTCTGTGTGTGGAATTAAATGCACAGGAGTATCCTCTTAAGAAAGACTTGGGAGGGGCAGTTTTTGCCATCTGTCCATTGCCCTGTGACCTCACAGTACCCCCCTGGAAAACTGGTCTGGAGGGTGTTCTAAAAAAAATAGGGTAAGGTGTGCTGCTGTACGCCATAGAAATCTCTTTGATCGGGCAGGAACTCTGTTGAGTCCTTTCTGAGAAAGTAATCCTTTTATTCAAAAAAGGGCACATCTGGGTTTGCCCCACTATGTGTACAGTTGTATTACACTTCACAAGCCAAGACAAAAAAAACGACTGGAGACAGCGTATGCCCATAGAAAAGCAGAACTTTCTGTGTGCCTGTTGATTACATATGCAACATATTTGTTAGCAAAAACCCCTTCCTGTTGAGGGTCAAGATGTACAATATATGTGTGGATCTGTTTTATCCTGAAAATATTGTGGGGTTCAGATCACAGTTGGGAACATATTATGTGTTTGGGAAAAGTGTCCCTTATCCCTTCTTTGTCTTCCCAGTGAATATCTTTTCCCCAAGGTGCTATTTCTTTTAAAAAAATTCTTTTAAATTTAAAGAATTGGCCAATAGAAGGCAAAAGGTGTCCTCCTGAGTGAAGAAGATGTCTTTGGAAGGAAAGATACAGGGGGAGGTATGCGAGCAAGTGTGGCACCCAAGGTCCAAGGAGGGCCTGCGCCTGTTCCAGCTGTTGTAGAACTGTCAGTTTTGGTATGTGTTTGGAGGCACACGGTGCAGCGTCTTACCTTGTTTCATTAATGTTGTGAACAACAGAGCAATGTTTTCTTATTGCAACAGACATCTGAAGGGCTGTGATATTTTTTGGTGCTGTGTTTGAATAAGGAAGATACTCATAAAAGAAGAAAAATAAGGAAAGGAAAGCTGCTTGTGAAAAATAAATAGAGGACATAGCCGTGTTGTATGTAAGAAACATGTTCCTATGCCTAACAGTATTTTTAGAATGTGACTTAACCATGTGACTGAAATCCATGCCAATAAACTGTAAATGTATTTACTCAACAGTTATTAGGGCATACTTCAGAAATCTCTGCTTAGATTAAGGATAATAGGAAAGATCTTACATTTCGTGCCCCCTTATCCCTTCTTTGTCTTCCCAGTGAAAATCTTCTCCCCAAGGTGCTATTTCTTTTAAGAAATTCTTAAAATTTGGGAAATAATGGGAAAGATCTTACATTTCATGCCTTTGTGTGTGTGTGTGTGTGCTTGTTGGTTTTTTTTGTAGAATAAGAAGCCTCCACAGCTGCCAGCCTACATATTCATGATTGATGTGTCATACAATAACATAAAGAGTGGCCTTGTGAAACTCATTTGCGATGAACTGAAAACTGTACTGGATAGACTTCCAAGGTAGGGACAATAAACTCTGAGTAAACTCTGCACCTCCAGTTTGATGAAGATGACATTAACTGCAAATAAGATGAAAAATTAGAATTTTCTGTATACTGTCATGCTCCGCACTCCACTAGTCATGCATGATCTTGGGGTGCATTTCCTCTGTCTATTCACCATCTCATCTTGTGTTTGAGCAGGCATCAGGCTTAGAGCAAACTGTCCCAACCAGGAGCCCTCCAAATATTTTTTTATTACAATGCACAGTTGTAGTCCAGTTCATTTGGAGCACTCTGGGCTGGGCGACTGTTTTAAATGTGATGAAATAAAATCTCAAAATTCAAGATCATAGCAGGTTCATTTAATGTGGATTTTACCCACTCCCCTTGCATTTTTCCCATGAAAGAATGCTATTTGGAGATGGGTGGTAATGGAGAAGACCAGCCAGTTTATGCTACATACCTTGCTTTTGCTTCAGACAGAAAGCAAGAGTTGCACCCGAGCTTTGTTTGATAATCTGGCCAAAAAGGGAATACAGTAGCTGCAGATTGCCTAGTAGGATCTCTCTCCTATAGCATTTTATCCATTTCTGTGACTGTAATCAGGATGTTTCTGTCAGATGTGTTTTGTTACTGAGTGGTGCTATTAATTGATATGACCAATCATTAGAGGTAGTTATATTTTGTTTTCTTCATCTGAAATAATGTCTTTGAAATTATATGCAACTGTGCTTTCTCTTCAAGGGAAGAACAAGAGGAGTCTTCAAGTATCCGTGTTGGATTTGTCACCTACAACAAAGTTCTCCATTTCTTCAATGTAAAGAGCAACCTTGCACAACCTCAGATGATGGTAGTCACTGATGTTGGGGAAGTGTTTGTGCCTTTGCTTGATGGTTTCCTTGTCAACTTTCAGGAGTCACGATCTGTTATAAATAAGTAAGCAAACAATTTCCCTTTTTTTCCCTCAAGGATATTTATTATAGGCATAAAGGCTCAGAAGGGATTTACTGATCCCTCCTTCTGATAGCATTCTGGGACCCTGTGGCTAGCCCAAGGCCCCATAATCCCCTTGCTACATATGCTCTGGGTGATCCCAACTGGCCTGAGAGGCACAGGGTGATTTGTATTTCTGACTCCTGGCTTAACAGCTACATACAGTGGTGCCCCACTGCTTGACAATGACCCCACTTGACGACAAAATTGCTTAACGATAAGTTTTTAGCGATCGCTATAGCGATTGCAAAATGATGGTTTCAGTGGGTTTGTTTTTGCTTCACGATGATTTGGACCCTGCTTCGCGAACCGATTGTTCACTAGACGACGATTAAAAACAGCTGATCGGCAGTTCGCAAAATGGCTCCCCTCTGTTTTCTGAACCTATTTTTGCTACACAGGCATCGCAGAATGGCCGCCCTATGGTGGATCTTAGCTGGACGAGCGGGTATTTCCTCCATTGGAATGCATTGACCGGTTTTCGATGCATTCCAACCAGGTTTTATTTTTGCTTGACGATGATTTTGCTGTACAGCGATTTTGGAACGCAGTATCGTCGTCAAGCGGGGCATCACTGTATTCCAACCCATTCAGCCATACCAGCACTGAAAACATGGTTAATTGTTATGAACATTCACACACCTATGTAAAATATCAGTATAATGGACGTATCAATGTATTCTCGAATACATTGATAAGGTACATCCTATCTTGGACGTATCTTGTTTAAATTTGTGAAATATATAGTAATATGTGTAGTAAGCTTTTCAAAGGCTTTCAGAGGAGATGTATACCAAAGTTTGGCCAAGTCTGCGGTTTGGCCCTATGTAGAATGTAGTCTGCTTTGGTGTAATGCAAAATCTTTTCCTGAATGAGCAGAATTTTTACAGCAAAGACAGAGAACCCTAAGTAAGCTTGCAGAAGTTGAAAAGTTTGATACTTAATTAACTTTTTAATGAAAGTTTTAAGCTTTCAGCAAAAGGGTCTGGTTTTCTTGTTCTAAAGGATTATCCTATCCATTCCAGTCTATTGGAACACTTATTTCTTCCCATTCCATAGCTTGCTGGACCAGATTCCAGAGATGTTTACAGACACGAATGAGAGTGAGACTGTCTTTGCTCCAGTGATCCAGGCTGGCATGGAAGCGCTAAAGGTTAGAATGGCTTTCTTTGTGCCACAAGGTCTTTGGGAGGATGGACTCGATTAGCTGTGAAAACCTCTATGGGAGAATAGCTAACATCTCCCACAGTGATGTGGTCTAGTGGTTAGAATTTTGGACTGAGGCCTGGTAGATCCATCATCGAGAATATAAAGTCATAATGCTGAAATCCTGTTCCATAAGTTACACTTTGTAAGTGTACATGCCATAGCTGCGCAAACAGAGTTGGCTGTTTTTGTACTGTTCATACATGCACATAGAGGCATTGCCAGTCCCACCTTTATAATGCGTGTATACAAAGTTTTTTAAAAGGCCATTTCATTTTTATCTCTGATTTTATTAAACATGTAAAGTTTTCAGCTTGGTAGCCATTTTAGTCTGTTTCAGTAACGATAATATTAAACCAAACATCAACAACAAGAAGAAAACTCTTATGTAACGTTTAGACTAGCAAATGTATTTCATTGTGAGCTTTCTTTGGTAACCACCCATGTTATCTGATACGTAAAATATAGATAACATGGCCAGTGAGCTTTAGCTACATCTGCCCCTTTGAGATCATGGTTATGCTGCTGGAAAAAAACAAAACACACACACACACAATCCAATCTACTTCTTTGTACACAAGGCGCATGAGGAATGCATGTCTTGTAAAGCAGAATTGTATTCCCAGAATCATGTTTTTGCTTTAAAATGTGATGCACTTTTTAAAAAAAAAACATTCAGTTTTTGTGTGTGTGGTGCAGCAATGGGGAGCCCCTGATAGGGTGGGGAACGGTGCCTCCTGCTCCCTGGAAAGTTACTCACTCTTAGTGTAAGCAATGCTGAGTTGGACGGATAAATGATCTGACTTGATATAAGGCAACTTGCCATATTCCTGGCATTGCTTATAGGTTTATGCCTCTCTCTTTTTGTCATTATATGTGTAAAAATAAGAATGTGGTTTGTTTGTTGCTATGATGTAATCTGATTTTGATCCCAAGTCTTAACAACAAATTTGCTATCGTTCTTCGTTCCAAGAAGTATGATTATTAGTGTCTTAGCTCCTTTGTACTAAATATACTCATGCTTTGGGAGGGTTAGGAAGCAGAAATTTGAAATTTGGCATTTATCAAAATTTATATAAATAAATACATTTTTAAAGGAAAATGTATTTATTTATATAAATTTTGATAAATGCTGAATGCTTTCAGTCATGAATGAAAGAAATAAACAAGCGAGTTAGGAGCACACATGCAAGAAAATTAAAACCAAACCTCCCAAAACGAATACATCGCAACTTCAAAGGAGCCAATCTGGATCCATCTGGAATACTTTTTTTGTGTATATTTACCATGAAAGTGATCTCTGTGGCTGAGCAGACTTCTAGTCTCTGCATTTATTTTCCTTTGTTTCCTTTCCTCACAATGCCAACTGTGAGCAAATACAGTAACACTTGTTCGGCTCCATAAATCAAATGATGATTTCACCACCTCCTTGGGAAGAGGAAATTGATTCTTGGGTGAAAACTGGTACTATTTCAAAACTCTTGGTATACATTTGAGAGGGTTTGGAAAAAAGACAGTTTAAACTACTCATAAATGCACAAAGCCTTGGATAAATCTCTCTGTACAGCAAATGGCTATGGCTGGGGATGGAACTGCAGTGAGAGCATCATGCATTAATGTGACTGCTTGCATAAGGCTGAATTGATGGCCCAGCAAATACTTGGTGGCTAGTTGCTCAGGTGCCCTCCTCTGTGCATAATTCTTTCTCCCCTTGTAACCACCCTTTGCTTCCATAGGTGTCTTGTGATTGCAAGAGGAGGTGCACCCGCTCAATACAGGAGTGAGAGCCCCCTCAGTCCATGAGTTGCCCCTAGTTATAGACTCATGTCCCTTTGCTTCGCTCGCATGTAACTCTTGCTTTTCTGCCACTTCCTTGAAAGAAGTTATTCGTATAAATCATTCATTTTAGATAGTTGAGAAGCGGTTGCAGCAGCCTCTGGAATTTGCCTGCAAAGTTTTTTCCTTACATGCCTTCTCAAAAGCTTCATAGCTCTTGTTCAGTGGCGGAAGGAAAGGAACAGAAGCCGGGTTCTGACCCCTGTTCAGCTGTAACATTTGTCTCAGGAATACTGCAACATAAATCCTTTTTTTTTTTTTTGTCATTGGTGCTGCAGAACATCCAGAGGCTTGTGGTAGCTTAACAATAAACTGAGTTACTAGCCAAAATCCTCTTGCACAGCTAGGCCAGATGCTTTCAGTCATAGCTCTTGCATAGCTGCGCGAGTGGTATAATTTTGGGGAGCAAATTGTCCTAGGTTAAGAAATCACCACAGATATTATCAGCTGCTTGCTGAGTAATACAATTTAGTATGCAACTGATAATGTGCACCGTGGTTTCTCAACTTGGGGAAGTTTGCCTTCCAAAGTTATCCTGTTTGTGGCTCACCAGGTAAGAGTATTTGGGCAATTATTGAATAAACTTGTAGCAATTCCAGTAGTAAAGCACCACAATAAACATACTGTTCAATGTGTTAACATTACCTTGCTGAGGGATAAATCACCAGTAGAACTCTGCTGATACCCACAATGATGAATCTATATCTTTTTATTAGTAAATATTCAGTGGCCAAATCCTGTTGCTTAGCATAATAAATTGCACTAGAGTAGGCCAGCTGAATCAATTGAGATTTAGTTCATCAGTTCCTCCTTAAGTTCCATTGATTCAGATGGACCTACTCTAATGATGTCAGAGTTAGAGTAGGCCCATTTGAGTAAATGGAATTTATGGAAGAGTTGACTTACCAAATCCCCATTCATTCAATGTTCCTATTCTAGTGAGATTTACTATGCTAAGCAACAGGAGTTTGACTATCTCAATTCTTGATGAGAATAACCAGGGGTCAGCTTCTCTTATGGAACACTAAACTCCGGATTTCCTCTATGCAAACATTTCTTCTCAGAACAGTGTATGGATAAAGTTAGAGCGCAAAGCAAAGTCTAATGTCCAGCAGTGGATGTGGATACTCCTCCTAATTTTTTCAGGTGGAAACAGTATCTTTAAAGCAAACAAAAATGCTGATAGAGACTTATTTTGCTTCTTCATTCAATTCATGTATAATTTCAAAAGAATAAATAATGGCAGCCAAACATGTGCCATAAAGGTGGTGTATAATTTGGACTGCTTGTGGATCAATTTGGTGTAATCCATTTCCCAGGAATCACACAGTGTATGGGGAAATACACTCTGGCCTGGGCCCAATCTGTGCCCGAGTTGGACCTTCTTGATCCAGCTGTAGGGGTTCTACTTTGGGGGGCAATTCCCTAGCAGATGAAACGGCCATTTTAGTGGAAATTGCTCCCTGCAAAGCAGCCCTTTCTTGTGCAATCAAGCACATGCTGTTGCAGCTGTCTGATTGAACCTTTAGTTGTGGTTTCCAGATGGATAGGAATGCTTATCATTATAGGGACAGGTTGCAAAACGTGTGCAAGTTCTGTAGCATCCAGACAGCTGCTAGAATATTGTTGTTGATGTTCTGAGCTGTCAAATCAGAACCTAATAGGGCTTTCAAGGTAAGTTCCAATTTGGCAGTGAGTTTCCATGGTCAAAGACAGATTTGAACCCTGTTCTCCAGAGCCCTACTCCATCATTCTATCCAGTACACTACACTAGAATGTACATCCTTAGAATGTATGTGACACCCCTGAGGCACCTGTATAGAGCTGAAGGTAAAAGGCACCGGGGGGGCATGATTGAGACTTATAAAATTATGTAGGGGATGGATAAAGTGGATGGAAGAAAGCTCTTTTCCCTCTCACACAATACCAGAACAAGGGGATATCCATTCCAATTGAGTGTTGGGAGAGTGAGAACAGACAAAAGAAAATATTTCTTTACCCAGTGTGTTTTTAGTTTGTGGAACTCCTTGCCACAGGATGTGCTGACGGCATCTGGCCTAGATGTCTTCAAAAGGGGATTGGACAGATTTCTGGAGAAGTCCATCACATGTTACAAGCCATGATGAGGATCTATTATCTCCAGGCTTAAAAGGAAGGTACCTCAAAATGCCAGATGCTGGGGAGGGGTATCAGGAGACAGGTATCTAGTTGTCTCATGTGCTCCCAGAGGCATCTGGTGGGGCCACTGTGAGATACAGGAGGCTGGACTAGATGGGCCCTTGGCCTGATCCAGCAGGGCTCTTCTTATGTTCATATGTAAGGTAGGTTGTCTTGGGGGCAAACCAATAACCATGTATTCTGGAGTTGGGCCACATATTGCAAGAGGACAATTCATTCATTTTCTAATTTGCTATAGTGTTTTTAATTCCCTTTATATTAATTAATAACTGCTAGAATGTTGTTGCAGTAACTGTTCACAGCATAAGTTTTCTCAAACGGTTTTTTAAACTGTTCCCAGTACAAGTTTTCTTAAACAGTTTTTTTAAACAGTGATAGATTGTTTTAGCATACCCATGACTCAAAATCTCTGTGTTAGATTAAGTTATTTGTGGATATTAAGTTTTCAACTTCCGAGTTATTTTCTTTTGGGAATTTGGGGGCCAAAAAAAGTTCAGGGACTAAACAAATGGATTCTTTGATTTATGAAGTTCAGGGATAGTTTACACTGGAGTTTTGAGACTCAACTGACAATGTATCAAGATCCAACTCCAGTGTTTATAACTACAGCAGAATAAAGGTCATTTTTTTGTGCCATTGTAACAGGCGGCGGAGTGTGCTGGAAAACTGTTTATCTTCCATGCTTCTTTGCCGACTGCAGAAGCTCCAGGGAAGCTGAAGGGCAGGGATGATAGAAAATTGGTCAATACTGAGAAGGAAAAGGTATGTTTAGATTGTTTATTTAAGCATGCAGCTTGCTTATGGATGGGGGAAAATTGTTACGATTTTGGTTTCTTACGTTTCTACCAAGTGCACCTATATAACCCTGTGTCAGTTATTTCTGCCACAGATTTATATTTTTCTTTCAATATTTTTTGCAACTTTTCTACATGACATCACAGGAATGTCCTTGTCCCTGCCAGTTGCATATGCTTCACTTAGCCAGAGCCCATATTAAAAAAAAGGACCTGTACTCTCAAAGCGTGCTTAGAAGTTAGGCAACCTGATTTAGAAAACCTGACACTCACAAATCACATGGGAACTGTGCCATTCCTTGTGCTGCTTTCCAGAACCAGGAATAGTGACTTTATTGCATTGCATGTCCCAGAATCCCTAGCATGTGGCCATGCTGGATTCTGAGAACTGTAACCCAAGAATATCAGTTTTTTAAGCCCTGCTGTTTACAGTTCATCCAACTACCAATCTATGTACATGACACAACTGAAAGATCATGGAACCTATCATTAGTTGACATTTTCTCACCAAAGTGCTTTTTTGTCCTCTTACTGGCTGTGGAAATAAATGCGTAAACACAGCATGCTCCCATGCTCTTAAATTAGTCTTGTTTTTCAAGTCAACTGAAACATTATAAAAATGGTGATAGATATTGATGGCTGTAAGGGATGATGGATGTTTTCCCCACCCCATCACTTAATTTAGTCTAGTGTGTGAATTGTCTCCACTAAAAATCACTGGCTTGGATTAAAACATCCCTCTTTATGAATGAGCTGGTGTGGAAGAAAGCATGTGCAATACAGAGAGTCTCCTGATCCTATGAAGGCATTTTAGGAAAGGCAGTACACTCTATAGCTGGTGAGTGGGGAAGCATCAGTAAAGGACCACTCCCCATGCTCCGGAAGTCCCTTCTGCTTATGGAGGGAGTGAGTGAGTCATAGGCCTAAAGTCTCCATTGTCATTGAGGCATGTGGTAGTTTGGTTTGCAGTGGCTTATCTATGCTGCCCATACATATATGTATCATCAAAGTCCCTGTATCTTTGGATCAGGAGAGGCTGGAGATGCTCTCCATTATTTATTAAGTTGCCCTTTATATGAGCAACCCAGAAGCCAATTTCTTGCTGGCATTCTCAGATGCCTATGTGATAGGCCCCCCCTTGGCTCAATTTTGTATGCTGCCTGTGGGTAGGGATGTAACTATTACCTATCAAGTCACAAAATTTGCTTTGGCAGCAAAGAAAATACATGCCAAGCATCAAAGTCTTAAGGAAGAAGGGAAATTATGTCATCTTGAATTTATGTATAGAAAGATGGGGTCAGTGCAGTTTTGTGTTGCTGTTAATATAGTGATGACTAGAGATGGGGGTATTCGTATACGAATACAAATACAAATATCCGCACACAGGTGGCATTAACAAGGGTCCAGCCCCATGGGGCCAGACGGTCCACTCATCAATCCGATGCGGATGGCACAATTTTACCAATGGCTCTGCAGCGTGCAATTCGCTCGCCACTCTTCGACCTGCAGTGAGGCTTGTCCTTCCACCTCCTGCCAGGAGTGACGAGTGGATCATGCACTGCAGAGCCATTGGTAGAATCACACCGTCCGTGTTTGTAGCGGTTCGCTGAGTGGATCATCCAGCCCTATGGGGCTGGACCCTTGTTAACTCCACCTGTGCGGGGATATTCACATTCGTATACAAATACCCCCATCTCTAGTGGTGACCTGTGGTTTTAAACAATAAAGCTTGCTCTTATTGTCACACCTATATATGATTGTTCCCTATCTTTAATCCATGTTGTAAACAAAGTAGATATATATATAGTTAGAAATTATTCTGATTTGCAAAATATATGTAGATGCCTTTACAGTTGGTACAAGGTGATATTTACAGTGGTGCCTCGCAAGACGAGGTTAATGCGTTCCGCAACAATCACTATCAAGTGAAATCGTTGTTAAGCGAAATGCAGTTTTCCATAGAAAAGCATTGAAAACTGGATAATCCATTCCAATTGGAACGGATTGTCATCGTAAAGCGAAAATTGCCATAGGAAACATCGTTAAGCGAAACGCGTTTCCCAAGCGAAGACAGCCATCTAACGAAATAGCGACCATTTAAAAACCCGTTTAGCGAATCAAACTCGAGCTGTCAAAACATCATAAAGCGAAAAACAGGGACCTAAAATTTAACCATCTTGCAAGGCAAGGTCCCTAACATCGTAAAGCGAAACTCGCCCATAGAAAACATCGTTAAACAGAGCACAAGATCGGTCCAACAACCTCATCGTAAAGCGAATTCGTCGTTAAATGAAGCAATCGTCTAGCGAGGCACCACTGTACATGGGTTGCATTTGTCATTTAAAATGTTTTAATTGCATTATTTTTTCTGGTGGTTTTTTTTTTGAGAAGTAGTAGCTGTGTTAGTCTGTTTCAACAATAGCAACAAAATAGTGTAATGTATTTAAAGCTAACATTTTTTTTCTCCTGTGAGTTCTCATGGATTACAGTCCACTTCCACAGAGACAGCTGCAAGAAATAGATCCATGAAAACTTACCTGGAATAAATGTGTTAGTCTTAAAGGTATCGCAGTAGTTTTTCCTTTTCATTTTGAGGTGGTTTTTTTTACTGCTAATTCAGATGGAATCATGCCAGGTTGTTCTCATGAATCCCCCCCTCCCCTTTTGATGTGTACATTACTCAGAATGCTTGTTTTTAAACTCCCCAGACACTCTTCCAACCGCAGACAAATATTTATGAGACCCTGGCCAAGGACTGTGTTGCTAATGGCTGCTGTGTGGATCTGTTCCTTTTCCCAAACCAGTATGTTGATGTAGCCTCCATGGGTCTTGTTACTATGCTCACTGGAGGAACTCTGTACAAATACAGCAATTTTCAGGTAATTTTAAAAAAGTTCTTCCTTTACCTCCATGGAACTTGACATACAACCATGCCTTCAAATGAAGCATAAAAAGGAAACTAGAAAGATCTAAAGAAAATGCTCAACAAACCTAGGTTAAAATTTTGCTATTACATTGCTTATGTGACACCAGAAAACAGGAGGCTAGAGGAATAAAAGTGAAAATCCAAGCTAGTCTTGCAAGGTGGACCTTTCTGCTGACGTGAGTTCTTGTAAATTCCCAGATCTTTTCCTCAAAACTCCTCCCACATAGTGGTTATTTTAAAAAATTGGAATTGAATCAGCAGTTTCACTTGCACCTTTACTTTGGATGTGTTTGGTCTGTTAAAATTTCAGAGCAGGGCAAAATTCAAAGCAGCATTAGTTGCAGAAGAATGTGATAAGAACAAAAGTACTAAAGTGTGTTAAATCAGATTTTTAGATGGCATAGTTAGGGTTTGTCACACCCATTTCATTTTAAAAAAGCACCCTAGATCAGGACTGTAGAGTGTCTGTGTGTGTCTGTTTGTGCATGTGTGTGCGTGTGCGCATGCACACAGAAGATCCCTTTTTCTGTGCTGGAGCGACCAATATGTGCACATTGAGGAGCCAGTTTTTGCCACAGACCCCTATTGGCTCTAACATTCCCCCAGTTAGGGTTTGTCACACCCATTTCATTTTTTAAAAGCACCCTAGATCAGGACTGTAGTGTCTCTGTGTGTTTGTGCGTGCGTGCGTGCGTGCGTGTGTGCGCGCGCGTGCGCGCGCATGCAGAAGATCCCCTTTTCTGCGTTGGAACGGCCAATATGTGCACATTGAGAAGCCAGTTTTTGCTACAGACCCCTATTGGCTCTAACCTTACCACCACCCTGACTCTTACTGAAATTTGGCAGCCATTGCATCACCTCATTGTGGTGGCACAAGGGGAACACCACATTAGAAGCATGCAAAATGCTTTCTATAAATGGTTTCCTGATTGGCTGGTGAATTTCAGCAGCAGAAGTTCCAAGTTGTCTCGGTATCTGCAAAACAATACAAGGGGAGCATGTGTTCCCCATTCCCATCTTTCCTTAAAACCTTGCTGCCAGAGCTACTTGCTCCCCTGCAAGGTATAAAGAAGGGGGAATAATTATGCCTGTTATCTTCCTGTACCAGAAATTTGATCCAGCTCCCACAGCCACAATTCTACACTAAGTCCTGTAGCATCTTAAAGACCACCAGATTTATTGCAACATAAACTTTTGTGGCATATTTTATCATGTCCCGGGACGCAAGAGATTAGTTGTAGTCTTGACCAGGGAGAATAGTACCAGGAGAATTAAATCTTTCTACAATATTAACTTTGTGAAACCAATTCCATTCAGCTGCTGCCCTCCTGTGGCAGATATCTAGTTTAATTAAATTCTCTCTGCATTTTTCCCCATTTAGGTCCATTCTGATGGTCATCAGTTTCTGAGTGACCTCAGGAAGAATATAGAAAAAACAATGGGATTTGATGCAATAATGAGAGTTCGTACTAGCACAGGTAACAAAACTATTAGGATTGTTTTCTGGCACTTCTGTTTTTCATGTAGAGTTGCAATTGTCCATGCTTAGTGTATGATGTTTTGGGGGTTCACCAGATTCAGAGATTTTTTTTTACTGTAAAAGCATGTCAAGTGAGAAAGTTGTGCATACTTTTGAAATAAAATTCTGATTGTTAAAAAAATACTTTTAAAATTAATTAAATTTTTTTAATTATTGGGTGCTACCAGATGGGCAGTTTGTGGCAACACCAGTCAGAAGATACTGTAGAGCTACTAAAACATTTCTTTTGATAGTAGATTTTGTGCGGGTATGTGAAAAGAAGATGGAAAAGAGGTTAAACAGGATGTTGTTTGATCCCACCCTTTAAATTCTCGGATAAGTCAGCACAATTGAATGATACAAGCTTTGTCTGGACTGCTGTTGGCCAAATCTAATAGAAGTGGGTCATTTCAAAATATATGATTGTCAACATTCATTTCTGATTTCTGGAGTGAGAATTTCTTTTTGAGGATCTGCTACACATTATTCCCTGAGCTGGCAATGCCATTGGATAACATCATAACATTTGTCAATTTTATGTTAATATTTCTTACAGCGTAAGGCAAAAGTTCTACAATCAAACTCCCTAATGACTGTTGACATGTAGGGTAATTCTGTGGGAAATCAGGTCTGAGGTCAGCTAGTGCCTTATTAAATCACTAAAAAGTTGCAAAAAAGACAAGTCTTATTGGATCACTAAAAAGTTGCAAAAAAGACAAGTTCTTTAGGGAATTTAAAAGTTTGCCTTATTCATAACTTTTTTAGTAATCTAGTTACGGTATTGCCCAACCATGAACTTCATTTCTATGAATGAATCACATGGCCACTTTTTGGACTTGCTTTTGTAGGGAATATTTGTCACATGGAACTGACAAGATATAAGCAATTATGTGATTATTTTCCCTATCAAATAACGTACGTTCATTCTAATAATGAGGAAATACGATGGAAACGGGATGTAGAAAGAAGAGGGATACCATCTCTCAGGCTGCCTGTTATAGGGCCGGTAGTAACTATTTTTCAATTTGCAATAGGTTTCAGAGCCACAGACTTTTTGGGAGCCATTTATATGAATAACACCACAGATGTTGAAATGGCCGGAATAGATTGTGACAAAGCTGTGACTGTGGAGTTCAAGCATGATGATAAATTGAATGAAGACAGTGGAGCATTAATCCAGGTAACAGGGTTCCACGCTGTAGCTTTAAGATTCCATCCAGACGACTAGCCAATATGCAGTTTTTTGCTTTGCGATGCTCATAGAGATTTTCTCAAAGTAGGTCTTGGGTTTTCCATCATTCTAGTACAGACACTACTATATTTTTGTCACAAGGAAAATGTGATCAGTCTCCCATGCCTACTGCAAATGCAGAATACAAAAGTCGTAGCCACCTAATAAAAAAGGCCTTTCACATTACTAATGGTGAGTGACCTGTCTTACTATTTTCTTCATGCTGATACTAGGGTTTGTTGTTGTTGTTGGAGGAGGATAGAAAGTGTCTTGGAGTAAATAACCCTCTCATCCTTTCCTTGAAGGTGATGCTGTGTAATTTTATCCCTTCAGGAGAGAGAAAATGCAATCCATTTCAGTTCTGTTTCTGATTTGAAATACCAAAGAATTATATTGTTTGTGGCCATAGGCCATTGCAAAATATTTCAGTTTTAGTTACACAGCATAGAATCGTAGAACAATGGCGTTAGAGAGGGCCTATAAGCCATCAAGTCCAGCTCCCTGCTCATTGGATACTTACACAAAAAATTAATGATACTATATACTAATACTGAAGCCAAATAAAGACTAGAAGACCTTTTAATATATAAAGTTAACACCTTTAAAAGACATCTCTCTTTTTTTGGTGAAATTAGTTCACAAGTATTATGAGCTGTTTGCATGTAATTATTGCCTTTCATCTGAAAAATGAATTTAAAATTATTAAGTTTGCTTGTGAGAATGGCACAATATTGAAGTTCAGATTGCAGATTAGTTTTTGCAAATCTTTCTTGAATCTTCCTTGGTGAGAGTGCAAAATGAACAGCATTGTAATATACTTTACTATCAATGTCCCTCAGCAGGAACAGCAGAATATTCTGCATTAGTCTATCATTCAGCATGGACAAGTATGGTGACAAAAATGTCTCTCTTTGTCAGTTATACCATGGACACTATAAATGATAGTGAGGGAGATCTTCTATTTTCCACCTCTGCATATACATTCCCTGTGAGCTGCAGGTATTTTCAATTATCTTCAAGTTAAATAAACTGAAGGTAGAGTCTGAACTCACAGTTCTTTTCTTCATCATCTTCATCGTTCATTGTCCCTAAATAGGTCTAGAGTCATTACAACACCATTACCACATCCTCTCACAGTTCTTTTCTTCATCATCTTCATCATTCATTGTCCCTAAATAATTAGTCTAGAGTCATTGCCACACCATTACCACATCCCTTTTTGGTGCAGTTAATAAATCTATCTCTATAATGGCCCAAATCTTTTACTTTTAGAACACTTAAGTCATCCACTCTTGAAGTGTAGTCTATGAGTCAGCCATTAAACCTTATGTAAATACAGTACAATAAAATATAATTAGCCTTGGCAAGGAATGAAATCATTCCTTAGGAAAATATCCTCCTGCTGTAAGCTGTAATACACCAAAGCATGTAAGGAAATGGCCACTGTCTCTTGCTAGGGCTTGAAGAACATTTCAGTCAGAACTAGAAAGCAGGGAGTCTCTTAACCTAAAGCTTCAATTAGAAAAATTGAATGGTACAGGTTACAAACAATCTTGAATGTTTTATTGGTAGTAGCCCCAGAATCAGTCAAACCTTCAGAGTTCCTACCTGCTTACTTCAAGGACCTCAGTGCTTAGAAATATCACTTTTTGGACTATACTGGTCATGTTGGCTAGAGCATTCTGGGGGTTGTAGTCCAAAAAGTCTCTTGTTCCCGTTGTCGTTGTTTAGTTGTGTCCGACTCTTCGTGACCCCACGGACCAGAGCACGCCAGGCCCTCCTATCTTCCACCGCCTCCCGTAGTTGTGTCAAATTCATGTTGGTCGCTTCGCAGATACTGTCCAGCCATCTCATCCTCTGTTGTCCCCTTCTCCTCTTGCCGTCACACTTTCCTAACATCAAGGTTTTTTCCAGGGAGTCTTCTCTTCTCATGAGATGGCCAAAGTACTGGAGCCTCAGCTTCAGGATCTGTCCTTCCAGTGAGCACTCAGGGTTGATTTCCTTTAGAACTGATAGGTCTGTTCTCCTTGCAGTCCAGGGGACTCTCAAGAGCCTCCTCCAGCACCACAATTCAAAGGCATCAGTTCTTTGGCGGTCAGCTTTCTTTATGGTCCAGCTCTCACTTCCATACATCACGACAGGAAAAACCATAGCTTTGACTATTCAGACTTTTGTTGGCAAGGTGATGTCTCTGCTTTTTAAGATGCTGTCAAAGTTTGTCATCGCTTGTTCCCAGCATAACAAAATGTCTAGGTTGCTATGAAATTCGACAGCTCTGGAAATTGATATTTGGAAGGATAGTGTAGTTTGATAATACTGAGAAGTGCAGCTACAAAGTGAATATGGCACCATGTCATGCCTTGCTACCAAACGTAGTGACAGAGCTCATGGTTTGCATGGATAACATGGTTGGTTGCTTTTTGGGCAACTTTCAGCATCAGTATTTGGAAAGACCATTTCTCAAGATCTTTGAAGATTATTGACAGTCAGAATAGTTTGTTTATCTGTTGCAAACTGCCCAGAGTAGCCCTGGCTGCCAAATGGGTGGTATATAAATCAAATTAAGAATATGAATAAGTAGTTTTTGGCTAACCTTCAGTAATGCAACCATGTTCCTTATTAAGTTAAGCTTCTGCATAGTCACAGAATGCAAACTGTCTTTCTCAAAGAGTGCTTAAGATTCCACCTGGACTTTCCTGATTGTAATTTATGATCTTTGCAGTTTAGATTTTCTTCTCTTTGACCCTCTTTTCCTTTCCCTTGCATTAACTTTTTAAAGCAAAAACTGACAGCAGGTGCAAAATAATGGAGGAAATAAATTCAGCTTTCTGTCCAAATTGACTTTGCCTTTCTCCTTGCAGTGTGCAGTCCTTTACACCTCCATGAGTGGTCAAAGACGACTACGCATTCATAACATTGGACTGAATTGTAGCTCCCAGTTAGCTGATGTCTACAAGAGCTGTGAAACTGATGCTCTCATAAACTTTTTTGCAAAATCAGGTAAGCTTCAGGGATGGGGAGCGGTTTAGTGATCATGGTGAATACCTTCAGCACTTGGAACAGTTTCTTTTTGTGACTACAACTCCAACCCTTCCAGCAAGGTGCTAGGCCAGAAGGTGCAAGGAGTTTTAAGTCCAAGTTACTTTCCCAACCTTTCTTGGAGTGCAGTATATTCTAAGTTCCAGGCTTTCTGTAATACAACATATGTGTGTGACTTACAAGGGACATGCAATTTGATGTTGGGAGGATGAATACAAAATTGCAATGCCTTTGATATTTTTACATGTCTAGTATTTGTTAATTTCTTGAGTGAACTACAGTCTCTGTTTCAGTTTGCAATCTGTAAGTAACAGGAATATTATTAACTGCTGGATAGCTCAGCGGTTTAGGTATCTGGCTGCAGAGCCAGAGGTTTGATTCCCCACTATCCCTCCTTGAGAGGGGCTGGACTCAGTGATCCTTATGGTCCCTTCCAGCTCTGCAGTTCAAAAGTTATTATTATTCTTATCAAATTTAGATTAGGATTGTAAACTGTGTTGTGTCTTGGATGCATCACAAAAACACATTTGGCAGAATGGCAAATTATGCATGTGTAAGTACGAAGCTGAGAAGGTAAATTGCCACTAATTGGTGGTGGGTGCATTCTTGGTATTATTCCAACTGTTCACACAATGTGCGTGCAGCTGAGAACACAACCAGTATCTTGTTAATCAGCAAATCTTTGCTGTTGTTACTTAACTTGAATACATTGAAGTATGTATGAATTGTGAATAAGATTCTGGCACAATTTCACTTTTCATGTGACTTTTACTTTTAAACCAAGAGCTTATGGTTTTCGCTTTCTCAGCAGATCCAACCTTCTCAATTTTAATCTTGTTTCGAAAAAGTTCAGAATGAGTCAATTAAATGAAAGCTGTGTCGGTTTTAATAGCTTAAAGCTTATTTAATATAGCAAAGAAAAAAAATATTTTTTCTGAGCCTTTCATGTAAAAAAAGCAGAATGAATGGGAGAGGAAGGAACATTTTAATCTTCTAAAATCTCTGAATTATACCATTTTAGCATACAAAGCCATTCTCAGTCAACCACTGAAGACTGTCCGTGAGATCTTGGTGAATCAGACAGCCCGTATGTTGGCGTGTTACAGAAAAAATTGTGCTAGTCCATCGGCTGTGAGCCAGGTATTGTATATTTTCAGCTCACAGATAGTGGTGAAGGCTTCTGGGAATTGCAGTCCAAGAACATCTGGGGACCCAAGGTTGGGAGCTACTGGTCTAATTAAATATCGATTGTGACCATAAGACTCACTTTTTCCCCACAAAACAGGGGTGTGGAAAGTCTGTGCGTCTTATGGAGCGAAGAAAACAGATTATATTTTCCTGTTTTCTTCTCCTAAAAAATTGGTGCGTCTTATGGAAAGGTGCGTCTTATGGAGCGAAAAATACGGTAAATATCGATTGTATTGTAAATATCCATTTGTGTTACCTGTATATGAAATAGGCATCCCAGATGCAGCACACACTTAGACATTTTCATATATTTGTGATGCATTCATGGTGCATTAGAGTTTGGAGAACAAGGCATCACAGTGCACTGCCTGGTCAATATGTTGGTCTTCAACTTGGCATCTTTATATGTACAGCACAAGTATTGGCACTTAAACTGTGGCCAATTCAAGATAGTTTTCCGCTATGAAAATTGAAAATGTTTGTTCCCTTTGCCATTTAGCTGGTGAACTGTACCTTTAAAAAATTTACAAGTTCCATTCTTGTTACACTTCAAAGAAAACTGCTTCAAGCACTCTCTGGGTGGTTTACAAGTCAATTATGCAGGCTACACATTGCCCCCCCCCCAAGAGAGCTGGGTACTCGTTTTACCGCCCTCGTAAGGATAGAAGGCTGAGTCAACCTTGAGCCGGCTACCTGGGATTGAACCCCAGGTCATGAGCACAGTTTTGGCTGCAGTACAGCGGTTTAATCACTGTGCCATTGGTACCAGCGCTTTGGGCTACAGCCCCCATAATGCCCTGATAGCATGGTCACTAAGCCATACTGAGTGATGCGTTCCTGGGAACTTGAGTCCCAAATTAACTTTTTCAGTCTTGAGTTTTCTGCTTTTTTGTTTTTCAGCTAATCCTTCCTGATGCCATGAAGGTGCTTCCAGTCTACATGAATTGCCTTCTGAAAAGCAGTGTTCTTATAAGCAAGCCTGAGATTCCAACAGATGAAAGAACCTTCCACAGGCAGCTGGTGATGTCAATGGATGTTGCCGGCACCCAGCTTTTATTCTACCCACAGCTTCTGCCAATTGTAAGTAGGTCTCTAGTGTTAGCATGCATCAGGCGTAGGATCCTTGGGCAATACCTGGAGAACAGGTTCTCAGTTTATGTCCTGTGTTTTTTCCAATGAGCTTCTCCCACTTTATTCTAACAAAAACCATGTGAGATAGGGCAGGCTAAATGTGGCACAAGATCACCCAACATGCTTCTCAGCCCAGTGGGGATTTGAACTCAGGTCTCTGAAGTCCTAGTTGAATACTCTAACCACTGCACCATACTAGCTCTCACTGAATCATGTTGATGGAGCTACTGGGCAGCAGCCATTGTTGCCACTGACCAAGTGGTAGGGATAGCACTGAGGAGAATTTAGGCCTGGATACCTGAGGTGACATCATATATGGGACAACTGACTCACTCCAGATGCACAGACCTAGCCCAAAGCAGTGACACTAAGCAGATTACTATGCTTCTTCAGTTGTGCTTAGTTTGCCAGTGCCACTGTTTGGCTTCCACCAGCCTTTGGGGTTTGGCTGCTTTAAGTAAGATGGTGGCACTGGTAAGGAGCATGAGACTTTCATATTTTTTCAGCTGTGGACTCTAAAATTCACCCGGAATTCCAGTGCCAGAATTTTGGGGATGCACTGGTAAGGAGCATGAGACTTTCATATCTTTTCAGCTGTGGACTCTAAAATTCACCAGGAATTCCACTGCCAGTGGACTTTAATGAAGAAATCCTCACAGGAGTTTTCAGTTATGCACAAACGGAAAATGAAGGCTCTGTTAGCCATTTTATTCCTGTTAAGAGGACAGAGGAAATTGATGGGAGTGGCTAAAGCCTATGAAAGCTGCAAGGGATTGGGGGACTGGTAGATTTTTTGAGAAGCACTCTACCTAGTGCCTGATGGGCAGAGAGACTACTAGTCCCCTAATCCATTGAATTTTACCCCCTTTTACCCATTTCTTCTTAAAGGAACAAAATATATGACAGAGCAGAGCCTTCATTCCCCACTTGTGTGTAATTGAAAACTCTTGTGAGGTCTTTCATTGTTTGGTTAAAGCACCTGGAGTTCCTGGCTGGGTGAATTTTTGCTGAATTCTGGGAGCTGAAATACAAAAACATTGCATACCCACTAGTGAGTCCAGGATTATGGGTGTGGAAATTCCACTGAGCACTGCTGCAAAGCTACTTTATTTCTGTCCTCACCAACCACCACTGTGGCTTCAGAAGCTTGTCTGGCAACAGCATGGTGTGGGGGGAAGGCATGGAGAGCAGCTTTCTCAGGGTTTGGAACCAACCCTTGTAGGTATATCCTCATGCAGGAGGAAATGATTTTACATTTTTGTACAACTTAACTTTGGAATCTGTTTTGTGTCAGCCACATTTTCTGTCTGCTTGTTTCTATACTTTGCAACAAATTTGTTTAGTGCAATATCTAGAGATGCCAGGTACTCCCAAAATGGCACTATACTACCGTCCAGTTATAGTAGTGATCGGTCATTCATCAACACAGGGAAGTTGTGAATTTGAGTGGCATAGCATTGTGTCATGTTGCAGCTGCTTCTTTTATAGTCAGTCCCCAATTCACATGTGCTGCAGCATTTTAGCTCATTGACTAAAAAGCACACCTACATGAAGAAGGAATTGAGTCTATTCCATCCACTTTTTTGGGAGCAGGGAGGGAGATTTCTGTTCAGTAGATAAGCATGTCAGAAAGATAATGTTATTCATTTTGGGTAAATCTAAATGGGGAAAGGTATGTGATGACCAGAAAGAATTTGATTTGGATTATTTATGTCAAGTCTTCTTGTTTCCCTTGCTTTGTTAAAAAAATTCTATTCCAATTATGTGCTTGCATTAAATACCGCAAAGCAGAGATGTGCAGTCTCAGAGCATCCGGCTCCAATTTTCTACCCATTCCCTAGAATTCAAAAAGAAGATACTTCCAGTGACCAGAATGATATTTCTGGTTTCATGGGGCAAAGCCTGGGGAACTCTGCTGTAATGCAAAGGAGCATGACCGTAAGAACCTAATCTTTCTTTCTGCAGCACACTATGGATGTGAATAGTGACACATTCCCCTCTGCTGTTCGCTGCTCAGAAGAACGTCTGTCTGAAGGAGGGGTATTCTTACTGGCAAATGGAGTACATATGTTTTTGTGGCTGGGAGTCAGTGCTCCGCCAGACCTTATCCAAGGGATATTTAATGTACCATCCTTTGCACACGTCAGCACAGAAGCTGTAAGTAACTGGTGTTTGTGGTCTCTGGGGGTGGAGGGAAAGGGCCTTGAAATTTAATTTCCAATCTGACAATGAGCAAAGTACATAAGCAGACCTGCACCAAAAAAATCTTAAGATCATTAGATTCCTCTTATTAGTAAAGTTCAGACTGAAATTGCAAATACTTTGAGTTAACAGGCACACGGAGGATTTCTCATGAGATACTCCCATCAATTTTCCTTCCCAAAACCCCTTCTCTTCTATAAAGATGAGTAGCCAATGTTCCTAGATTATGACTGTTTCCATCTAAGATAAGCAAGCTGATCTCCCTGCTAGGGACGGGATTTGGGGATTATTATTTTTTTAGGTATAAATCTCAAAAATCCTCATTCTGGGAATTTTGCCTAAATGACATGCACCTTACGGATAGCTAAATGTGTCTCAACCTGGGAGAAAAGGTCTAAATTGGAAGTCTTTAAGGCTCAGCTTCCTGTTCAGAAATAAAGCACCCAGTTAGCATGAGGACAAAAATGGGAAGCTTCTGGGGAGCTAGTCCTAGCTAAGCCTCAGAGACTTCCAATTTAGGCCTTGTCTCCCAAGTGTCTTAAGGTTTGTATGAGTTGGGTAGAACTCCTAGATTTGTAGTCCATGAATTTGAAAATCCCACACCTGGTCCTCAATCTTATTCCAACCTGCTGTTCGTGATAATTGCTGAGTTCCTCATTCCTGGTTTATCAGGCAATGCAACATTCTTAATCTCAAAGACCAGTGAAAAGGCCTGCAGTGGCACTGTATGGACATGTTTTCATTTATATGAAGTATGTACATACTGCTTTTTAATGGTGTTTATTCCTCCTCTTGAAAAAGTCGAAATATTTTATTCACACTGAATTTAGAAAAAAAAATTATTTCTACATGGAAAAATCTTTGAGATTTTACCATTCTGGATAATGAAAGCAGCTGCTGATTTTCAAGACCAGTGAAATTTGATAATCGCCAATGAGACCATTTTGATCTCCTCTTTCAAAATAAATAGGCTTGTATTTTGACATAAGTGCAGTTTTCATGTATCATTTCATATGTTTATCATGCAGACACTCCTTCCTGAAGTAGAGAATCCCTACTCAACAAAGCTGAGGTCAATGATAGATCATCTCCAGAGCAAGACACCTTATACTATGAAGGTAAAATATGGAATCTTTATTGAAATGCAGTTTTGAAATGCTTATTGGACTCCTTTGGCATATGGATACCATTTGTACTGTCACCTCAGTTTTTTTCAAACTTTTCTGCTCTTTGGTCAGTGTGATAACATGCTTCAAAGAGGATTTTCAGGCTCTCTTATAACCCGAACCACCTTTTCTTTTCCTTCTCAGATCTTGATTGTAAAGCAAAGAGAGCAGCCAGAGATGGTTTTCCAACAATTCTTGGTTGAAGATAAGAATATTTATGGAGGAGCTTCTTACGTGGATTTCTTATGTTGCGTTCATAAAGAGATCTGTCAGTTGCTCAGCTAATGAATACACGAATATTCATTCAGGAAAGATTTTACTCAAGTGACCAACCACCACAAGGTGCTTTTTAGTCTTACTTTTTTTGTACAGTTTCTAATTTCATATCCTAGTGCCCTTTTCCATAATAATGTAGCCCACCTACATTTATGTAGCATAGGCAAATCTGCGCGCTCAGGTATAACTCCTATGGGAGAGCCTTTACTGTTCTTTAAAAGGATAGTTTCTTATGAGAAAATTTGGAATCCTGGAATCTCTCAAAGCTGAAAGCATGTCGTTTTCATTTCTTAAACTTTAATAAATTGTGAAGCATTAATATCTGTAATTTTTATTACTCATATAAACAGCTAATGTTCTAGTGACTGTGTATTTTGACTTACTGTTTCTTGCACTGAATCACCTTTTAAGTATTTTCAGTACATTCTGCTTTGCATGCTGTGATGCAGTATGTCGGGAGAGAGCAAGCCATGTCCAGATGCCATTTGTCTCCAAGCTTTCATCAGTCCTAGCCAACATGGCTAGTGATGATGGAACCTTTTGTCTCCCAACACTTGGAGGTCACAGATTCTCTACTGCATTTTGGTACCCTAAACTGCATTGAAGTTAGAGCACCTTAACCTCTGAAAAAAACCTAAAACACTTGGACCTTTTTGATTTAGAAAAAGATATCTATGAGAATGTGATAGCAGCTAATGACATTCCCTCCATGTCATACAAATATATGCTGATCCTTCTGCAACAATAGAATTCAGTCATACAATAACTGTTTACTGGATTAAACTGGACCTTCAGTCTGATCTATGGGATTCTTCTTCTGTGTGTAACTCTTTACTTGCTGAAACATATCCTCTTCAATTCCTCATTATTCCTAACAGCTTCATATGAAACATGCTTTCTATCTCTTTATGCTTATATCCTATCACTAATGGAAATTGTATTGTATACCATACAAGCAGCCATGGTTACCTCCCTAGTATTCTTACAATAGGGGACCCAGACAGATCCAAAGAACACCTAAATCAGCACCTTCTAACAATGAACAATGTGCCCCTACGAAGTACACAGGAAGAAACTGAAGATACCCCTTTCCCCTTCTCTTTATCCCTGACATCTGGTACTGGAAATTACAACATCTGTGCCAGAAGTGTTTCTGTTTAGCTACAGATGAATCCTGACAACTCTCTAATCCTTTCAGAAACCCATCAAATCCCATAGTATCCTGTAAAAGTCAAAACATTCTGCCATTAAAAACATGCGAACAATACTTTATTTCCACAATAACTCTGAATCGGGCTTCTTTATTTAGGCAAAATAACTTGAGACTTGAACTTAACTCTTGGAGAATTACAGGTAATCATCTTTTAGATTTCTTAATACTTTTAATGCAGTGAACCCCATTATTTGGGATGTAATTATTCCCTCAGCATCTTCCTGTCATGGATCTGGTGATCCAATATACAGTGGATACAGAACTTGTAACATTTCATTTCCATTCCACTAGGGGGGACCACTAATCAAATGGAAAAGATTAACCTAATCCTAACACATGTTTTCCAAGGATAGTTCTCTCCAGTTATATGCATCCACAATTTCAGAGTCTTAGCATTTTAGAGGCAGTATTATGAAAAACATATGACTGCAGGTTGTCATCTGTTCACCTTTGTAAGAGTGGTTTTCTCAGATAAAAACAAGTTTCCAGTTAGAGATCTTTCCACCATTGTGCTCATTGTTGGCACGCCATCTGACTCCTCTGCACTTGAGGCTGCCACTTTTGATCTATAAATGCTTGTTCATAGATCCAGAAGTATGTTCAGTAGATAAAATACATTACCACCTTAACTGTTTTCAGATGAAATGAGGGAAAACATTGTTATTCCCTCTACTATCAAACCAGTCATGGTTTCTACAGATGTGGAGAATTTCTTTTAAGTATAAATTAATATGTTCATGATTGAATAGTAGAAATTAATTCAACCTCCATTATGATGTTTGTTTGGTAGTGTTAAGGAGAAGTGAAGGGCTTGTCTGGAGGGATAGGAAAAGAATTGGTCTGCTGGAATCCATCAACGGAGGAGATTTGAGAGGAAACTTATGTTCTGAGGTTGGAAAACAACTCCTATCCATGCTGCACTATAATGGAAAATGGTGATCGGAGTCCTTCCTCCCACTTTCCTCACGTCACTTCCCTCAATCCCTATAGCAATGAAGTGTTCATGTCTGTCATTTCCAGTCACCACACACCTGGATCCACTCAGTCTTTACAGAAATCAGAAAATGTTTTCAAGATGGGGGAAGGGGGGAGTTTTGTCACCTCCATAGATAAGGAGACCTTGCTGACTAGCCTCCCTCGGTTCTGCAAGACCTCCATGATAGGAACTAGAACACCAGATACTCCAGGAACCTCCCCCGGCCTAATGCCCATTTAGATCTTTTGAAGTAATCATGGGGATTATGGGAGCTGTAGCTTGGCAACAGTTGAATTTAATTTGTAGATTCTTTTTTATTTATAGAATGATCAACCCAGGAACATATATGGGGAATGACAATTCACTCACCACACCCTTATCAGTTACATTAGTCATGCTATGAATCCTGTGTCATGTGAAGCCTAAAACGTAAACAACACAGGTATGCATGGCAAAACTTCCATTTTGTTTTCATTTCACTGGGTTCCTCTATCATTTTTGTTTATTTTGTGCATGGAGCTTTCATTTGACACCCAAGGGACTAGTTCCTTCATGTCGTTTCTCAGTTGTTTATAATTAGCATGATCCAGTGAGAAGGTGCAGGTAGGTCTGTGCTTCTCTCTTGTAGTGAGGCAGCCATGCTTCTTGGACTTGTCAATTGAATGCTTTTGCACACCTGTACATGAGGAATGGGGTTTGAAACAAAGCATGGCACAGCTAGAAAGCAATAGTAGGGAGGCTTGCAGGCTTTCCTTTTCTTCCCCCTCCATCGCTCCCATTCTGCAACTAGTAAAAAAAAAACAAAAAACAAAGCAAAGCTCCTAGACCCAAACCCACAGGAAATTCTGCTGGCTGATTTTTTTTTTTCTCCAAGAGGTCTCACCGGCTGGCTGGTATTGTCAGTTTAGTTGTACAACCAAGCTTATCTGGAGCAGGAACAGCTCCTTGAGACACCAGCACACCAAGAGAAAGGCTGATAGACGCCATCCCAACACTATTTGATCAAACATTTCCCAGTTGATTTGACAGACTGACACCAGATGAAAGGACAAATGAAATAAGAGAAATGAAATGAACAAAACTTTAATTTGCTTGTTTTCACTTGAATGAAACATTTGTGTTTAAGAGGTTGGCTTTGTGTCTTTCTTTTAAAAAATAACAAGACTATGAATATGAAAGATTATCTTTTATGGGGTTTTTCATTCATTTTCAAAAGGAACTCCCATCTTTAGTTAAAAAACTGTGCCTACAGAAGGGAGTGTGTGTCAAAGAGACACACAGTTAAAATGAAACCTGACAACTATACCTATTTATATATTTATAAAGTGTTGCATCAGTTTCCTGACAAGCAAAACTAAATTCTCCACACACACACAAAAAAACTACCCTTAATCTAGCTTTACAGTGTAAGCATTAAGAACTAAGTCACTGGATTTTGTCTGAGAACAAACTGACATTTTTCATTGTTAGAAGTCTAATTCAATCTCTCACCCTATTTTATAAAACTTCAATAATATAGGAATAGCCACACTGCTCAAACCAAAGGCCCATCTAGTCCAACAAGCCATTCATATAGTGGTCAACCAATAGCTTATGGGAAATTCATAAGCAGTATGTAAATGCAACAGCACAATCTCTCATAAGAATTAATTACTGACAGCTCCATCCTCCTTGAAATTGCCTAGTCCATTTAAAGCTATCCAAGCAGGAAGTCATCACTGCTGCTAAACAGCAAATTCCATCATCTGTGCATTGTGTGAAGACTTATCTGTTGTGAATCACCTCCTGTCCACTGTGCATAGCTAAATATATTTCAGCTGTATCCCTCTCATTCTGAGCTGGGCAAGGGGGTAAGTACTCTTGATCATTTGGGTTGCCTGTTTTTTGTACTGATTTTCCAGCTCCACAATATTCTTTTATGGGTGCAGTGACACAGTATTCCAATTGTTATCAGCAGAGAATTGTGTAAGGGCAATATGGTACAGGCAATTTTATTTGTTATTTCTTTTTTCATTATGCCAAACATGGAGTTTGCCTTTACATTATTGTGTTGCACCAGCCATATGGTGGGTTGATAAGCTTCATCATGTTATCCTCCACAACCGTAAGTATCTGTTTCTTAGTTCTCACTACCAGCAAAATTCCTACCACTGACTAAGTTAGGATTCTTTCTCCCGATACACATTGTGCTACACTAGCTTATGGACCATTTTAAGGGCACCCACCCATGGGAACATTGGCACACTAAGGATGTAGTGTTGTTCACAAGGTGATTTGGGGGAGGGAATCAGAAGAAATCTCAGTCAGCCATATGCAAGACAGTTATTACACTAAACAACACTAAACTATTTGAGGAGGGAGGATTCTCCAATCAACATTCAAACACATGTATCCAGGACCAAGTTCACCAGAGCGAGCCTGGAAAAAAACCAGGGGGGGGGGAGTGCTGGTTTAATATTTTTCCCCTCCTTCACTATTGAAGGTGGGTAGGATTTGAATATGCTCTTCTGAATGTTAATTGACACCTTTGCTTTTCTGATGACTTCTAATTTTCCTTTTTTATCTATAAAGGCTATAACAAATTCTCACAATTTTATTCAATTGGCAAAAAGGTGTCCAACACACTGAGACACCCTTTGAAAAAAAAAACAGAAACTGCTCCATGATGATGATTTTACTCCTCTGCAAGAATGAAAAGACCAGGGCTTTCTTTCAGGTCTACTGCAGTTTAGCAGCCATTCCACAATCCATTGCATGTCTAACAGTGATGGAAGACACAGACCTACATTTTTCATAAGTTAGCCTAACACTTAAGCTGAAACATATATTTTTTATTATAGTAACAAGACCTATCACCTCAGTAATGATAGGCCATAAATCTCTAGATTAAGGTAAAACACATTAATCCACAGAGATCTCCTTCTATAAAAGGCAAAATTACTGCCAAGAGCTATGGGTGCAAAGTCATCCAGTTTAGAAATCGCTTCCATGTCAGATAAATTAAAATGTTAAGAATGTGTGCCTCTTCCCCATATCACTCTTAATGGTAATTATGACCAATAATTAAACTAGACTTCATGGTGCAGTTATATGTGTATTTTGTCTCAATATCTGCTATGTTCACAAATAAAACATGGCTGCATCCACTCTTCCTTTTTAAAAAAAAAGTACATAAAGAAGAGGACCTAAAAGCAGCCCTCTTTGCTCTGACACCAGTTAGACTGGTGGAAACCGTTTAAAGCAGATTGCTCCTAAAAGAAACTCCATTATCTACCCTATTGGCAAAATAGTCTGACATACATACAGTTGTCCAGGTGCAGAGGGTATGACTATGAAGATAAAGTTACATCTCATATAAATCTAGTTAAAGCATAACAGGATCTTTTTATGGATCTGCCTGGAATTTCCTGCTGGAAATGGTACAAAACTATATTCAGTAAAGTATATTACATTGTATGCTATATCATCCTACAGAAATGTACAGAGAACTACACAACCACTATAGACATTTGTTCCTCTGGATTGAGAAATCTAAAGAGAAGGCACTCACAAACTGCCAATACTCTACCAAAAAAAGAAAAGAAAAAGAAAAAGAAAAAGAGAACACACAGAATTAAACTAGTCATGGAGGAAATGTGTAACTATCTTGTTCTTCCAAAACATGATTTTGTGAAATATGCACATCAAGCCCATGTTTACTTTCTAATGACCAATATCAAAATAAAGCATGCCAAATGCTGAACATGGAAACAGAGGAAATTATTTTGCTGTGACAAGCAGAAGATTTTCACCACTTGAGGGAGCAGCTTCCAAAACATATGCCAAGGATCTCTACTTTGAGTTTAGAGATTACTATTGGTTTTAGTATTTGTAGGTGATGAATTCTTTCTTCTTCATATACATATTTAAAATTTGAAGATGTAAAAAAATGCAGACTGCACGTGGAAAGCACAGGAAGCATGGAAGATTGCCTGCTGTTAGGTGAACCAGATGCAAGCTCTATGACTTACATGGCAAGAAATATCAAGCTGTTCTGTCAAGAAGGTACACATCCTGAGATATATCAACTTGTTTAAAAGCAAGGATCACTTCAAAATACTTCATGATTCCATGGGCTGCAGTTTGCTTATATGACATTTGAGAGATTTTTCAATTGAAACTGGCAAGCTGCCATACTTCTAACATGTCTGGCAGGTAATAAAGTCCAGTCTCCACCCAGTGTAGCATTTTAAGTTATTGCTCCTAAAATAAGAGTCTAGTGGCACCTTTAAGACTAACAAGTTTATTTGGCATGCATTCCTCCAGGAGGGTTACGTCTACAAAACCACCTGCCAAATAAAATGTATTAGTTTTAAAAGTGTTTGGGTTTGTGGTTTTAGTGCAACAAAAGAACATGGAAAATATTCATAAAACACTGCAGGAATGAGGACTGTCATTTCACATGCTGAGTTACCTAGCCTCACAAAAATGATCAGAGTTCTGTTGCTACTCCACATTTTCTAATCATCAGTGTATGTTACGGAAGGAACAAGTACTGAAGACTGAAAACAGCAAAGAGGTAAAGTCATATGCTGAATATTCCTCCTTCTAATACATGGCCTAGAATATTAGGAGTGTGTGGAGGGAAAACGAGGGGAGAAATTTGAAATGAAATTGGAAACCCATTTGATGAGAAGTTCTCTGAATAACATCTATGGACTACACTAACTTATTTTTAGAGACAGATTAGCTATTTCATGATATGCATTCTCTTCATTCCTTCCATGAAAATTACTTTAAAAGTTTTACATGATGATATTCTGTAGACATTTCCCTCTGAAACAAATAGCTCAGACTGCTATATATTCCAAACCACTTAGCATGTTCAAATTGTTCCAACAAAATAAAATTTTTAAAACCCACAAAATTTCTACATTTTTCTAGTACGCAAATAACATACCATCAAATCATTTAGTCACAAGATAACAATTCTTCTCACCAATTATAATTTACTGCCATTATTGTCATCAATACAGAACTAAAATACCTTTAACGTATAAACAGTAATGAAATTCATACAGGAAAATGGCAACGTTAAGTATCTAAAGCTGAAGGCAGAAAACAACAAGCACAAACTTGGTTAAAGGAATGATTTTGAATCAAAATGAAGACAAACTTCCAATAAAAATAATGTATTTGTCAAAAACAGTAAATTCCATAACTTTCACTTAAAATGCCATTTAAAAGCTGGTTTTCCGGAACCAAAGTACAAAAGAGCTGGATATGTTCAGTTCTTAAAACAGCCTTGAGTGCTCCAGAGACTATCATGTCCAAAATTTGATCAGATGCCACTGAATAAAACAGATCCATTTTAACTGTCTTTTCAATAAAAGAAAAGCCCTACGTAAGTCAAATTAGCTGAGGCAAAAATAAGCCTCTATTGTTCCTAATATTTACATGGAAAACAAAGTTTCACTACGGTAGCAGCGAACAGGTTTGTCCTTACGAGCAGTATTTTAGAATTATCCTCCTACTGTTTTCCTATCTCCAAATTACAGTACAATCTAGTCAAAGTCTAGAGTGAAATTCTGTGGTTTTTCAAAGCGTACCCTTGGGGCTATGCATTCACTGGCTCTGAGGATGGAGACAGATCTGAGCTTGGATTGCCTGATGCATCCCACGTTTTCTGAAAATGCCTGCAGTGATGGCTCACCAATACTTGAGACCAAGGTTCTGATGCTGGAGCCTTCCTCAAAGGCAGCAAGAATTGCCAGCCTTCCACTTAAGTCCCAACAGCTTCCATGAAAATCATGCCAAATTTCTTCCACCCAAATTAACCGTGTTTTCCTTGCACACATATAACATTTTGAACCTTTTTCAAGTCAAAGTCTACATTTTACAAGATGGAAAACTGAATGTGGCACATCATGACAGACATTTTCCAAGTACTGAAGGACTGATCTCCCCCTGCTGTAGCACCCTACACACTATTTGGAATATCAACTGAAAGGTAGTTATGCAAATTATACATTGTTATGCAGACAGGATTTGTAAACAAATTTTCACAATAGCTTCTGTGTGCTTTCTGAGTCATTACAGTCCCCAAATTAGTCATCTTTTAAAATAATCATTAATATTCAATTGAAGTTGTAAGTTAATTAAAATGCAGTGTGAAGTAAGTTGCTCTTAGGAACAGCTATCTTCTACTACTGTAATGGGAACCAGGGCTACATGCCATTTCCCTGAGTAGAACTGATTATCCAGTGTAATCTTCCCTCAACTGGTACTCTTCCTAATGTGTTGGACTACAAGAGGGGTCAGTGATCTCAGTTAGGCCAAGAGACCTAACTGGAAGCCTGGGGACTAAAGTTTGCCCCTGAGAAAAGTGGCCAAAATTAATGGTCTGGCTTCCCATATTCCTTCCTGCGTTTGCTGAGGGTGAAGCATGCTTATTATATACTATATGAAAACAATATATGGTTTGGCGGTTTTCCATTCCTCCAAAAATGCATTTCTGTGCCCTAAGTGTTTAAAACAGATGATGAAGTCTTCAACCAGAATATTTACTTGCTGTTAACTAGAGACTGTTATTTCCTTTTACATGTCTCTATGATTAGAATTATTTAGGGATCAGTATCATAGCTTTGTGATTTTCTGATACCTAAACAGTCCCTACCCATCAAAATAAGTAATAGGAAATGCCAAGAAATATCCAATTTAAAAGGAAGAAAATATCCCAATTGAAGATTTCTTTATCTAATTAAAACAATTAAGGCAACTTTGGGAGATAAAGAAAAAAGCACAAAACATTGAATGAAACCCTGTTGCAGTTATACAAAAGGTGTAACTTTTGGAAATAAACTGTTGCAACTTAGAATATCTCCTCAGACATGATATGTTGCATTACTGGCATGCGACAAAAAAAGGTCTATGAAAATTTCATAACTTATGGCAATTCCTTCAAAAAGTTACATCGTGTGTGTAACTATGCAACAGGATTTCAGTCAATGCATCCTGTCTTAGGAACTAATGTAACATAAGCATGTTCCAATCATAAGCCTGGAAAGTGCTTCAAAAGCCATTCCACCAATTCTGAAGGCTTCCAAAATTATTAGTATTATTCGGCAAGTCCAGGGGCACAAAAATGGTTTGGGGGCCCAAGGTCCAGCCATGGATTACCGCTTCCATCACCTTCATTCTCAAGCTGACTGAGAGGATGCCAGACTGAGAAGACTAATCTAGAGAGGGCAAGTGGTTTATTTTTATTCCATGTTCATATATAATGATAAATACCAAGTTAAAAGCAGAGGGAAATGCAAAGCAGATTAAGAGATTAGTCTCTTTTGATTTCAAGCTCAGTAAATAGTATCTATCCTCAGTGTATGGATAATTATTTGTCAAGTAAAATGAGGTACCATATCTGAGCTGTCTCAATTGGAACACATTAAAAATACCTGGAACTAATATATTTTTTAAAGAATGGAAAACTAACAGCATTAAGGCAGGCTAAAAATGCAATGGAGAAGTGTTCAGCGAGGTGGAAAACCTCCCCGGTGGGTGCCTCCGCGTCCTCCCCGAAATCCACCCCTTTCTCCTCGGAAATTAGTTCGGTTCCTCTCTCTGCCGCCCCTTTCCCCTCGGCCAGCTGAAGTTCCACCCCTTCCTCCACCCCTGGGTGCACCACCTCCTCGATCTTTAGGTGGTGGTGATTTAGGTCGAAGTCTCTCAATCTCTTCTGTACAACCAGTTAGAGGGGAATTTGGAGCCGTGAAGTAAGATGTGTATGTTTCTGCATTGAAGTTACTGTTTGTAAGTGTGGGTCCCACAGTCAGCCAGCCTAAAAAATCAAGCAGAAGGCAAGTCAAAGGCAAACAGAGTTATTCACCTTCCTCATTTCCAGATTACATCAATAATATATAAAGTTAACATTACATATCCTATAGCAAAACACACAATTACTAAAGTTGCAGTTACAAGTTGGTCCATTTGAATCCATGAAATTTACAGAGGAGTTGATTCTTGCATGATTTACAATGCTAAACAACAGGATCTGGGGCATCATTTTTCTTTATAAATGCAATATAATTCTGGCTCAGATCAAGTGAACATAAGTACATTTTGTGTTATGTTAGTAACAATGCATTAATGTGATCATGTATTCATCTAGGGAACAGATCAATTATGTAACAGTTGCAAACAAACACTTCAGTTGGGCAGCATCCGATACCCCTAGTCCAAGGCAGAAAATATTGCCCTTCAATCTCTCAAGATCAATCCAGATAGCACTGAAATCTGTAGGAAAGCATTACAGTCTTGCTATGTATTGTTCTCATCCAACCTTAACATCTGAAATCAAACGTTAACAAGAAACTTTATAACTGCAGTGATTATTGTCATTGTTTAATTATGAGACTCTAAGTACAGTGGTGCCCCGCATAGCGAGGTTAATCCGTTCCAGATTAACCTTCGCTATGGGAAAACATCGTTAAGCGGAACGGGGAAACCCATTGGGCCCAAATGGGCCCAAAACTCACTGTTCTCCGATGTTTTCCCATGTTCCGGCGGCCATTTTGGGTGTCCCGGCGGACATTTTTGGTGTCCCGGCAGCCATTTTTGGTGTCCCGCTGGCCATTTTTGGATCTCTCAAGATCAATCCAGATAGCACTGAAATCTGTAGGAAAGCATTACAGTCTTGCTATGTATTGTTCTCATCCAACCTTAACATCTGAAATCAAACGTTAACAAGAAACTTTATAACTGCAGTGATTAAAGTCATCGTTTAATTATGAGACTCTAAGTATAAATGATTACTAGCATAGCCATTTTTGGTGTCCCGCTGGCCATTTTTGGTGTTCCGGCGGCCATTTTGGAACCGACGAACAGCTGTTCCCCCATCGTAATGCGAGCATCCCCTCACATTAACGATGGGGAAATCCGCATCGCAATGCGGGTTCATCGTTCAACGGTGTGCTCGTTATGCGAGGCACCACTGTATAAATGATTACTAGCACCTATATTTCACAGTCCAGAATCATAAGTCTATTGCTTTCTTATCACTTGGTCTCACTTTTGTTTACAGTATCATTTAACACTCAACTGCATATGTCTCCATCATGTTTCAGCCCACATAGTCAGAAGTGGTATTTTGCCTATGATTTCTGCTATCTCCCATGAATTAACCAAAGGAACTGGTGCATACTGTGATAGTTAAGAGCATGGAGAGGCTACTTTCTTGAATACAGTTCCCAAAATTACCCAGCCAGCACGGCTATATTGGCTGGGAGATTTTGAAAAAGGTGGTCATTTTTGTCACCAAAGCCTAGCCATCGAAAAAGCTGTGCAATAACTTTCCCCCTCTTCTGTAAAGGTTGAAATGATTAGGAAGTAAATCTGGAATTAACCTGGTCGGATTGTGCTGTCCCGTCCAAAAAGATGAAGTCGTCGTCTTCCAAGACAAAAATGTTCAATGATATGAAAGATTTCTACAGGCTTCTCAATGTTGCCAATTTCTGGCTCTTCTGTGATAATTAAGTCAATGTCAACATTCGCATGGATAAAGTCCCCATCGACACTACGGCGGACTGTTCCTTTAATGCCCATAAGACAGTGTTCCTAAACGGAAGAAAATAAAGTTTGTGGAAGCTGCTCAGGAAAAAGCAAGCTGAAGCATGTGGAGGTGGGCAAGGGGAAATGTCATGTTATGCTTGTGTTGAAAACAGAGGAAAGGTGGAGGCAACTTGTATATTTAGATCTCAAGCCGAAAGGTGGAGGCAACTTGTATATTTAGAACTCAAGCCTGGAAAAGTTGTTTTTTTTTTTTTTAAAGTACTACTCCAGGTAGGGAATTCTGGCTGTTGTGGGTCAGAAACAAATTTTCCAAGCTCTGAAGTCAGAATATATCATAAATTCAAAACAAAACAGTTCTGGTTCATATAGCCTGGCTTCTCCAAGAACATCTTCTACATAAATTCACCACTATGTACAACGGTGTCAGTACTAATTGGCATTGTTAACCCTGAGCACAACCTAGTTTCTATTAAAATAGGCATGGATGCTCATTATTTTTTTAAAGTTTAAAGATAAATGGACATGGCTGAGATAGTCTACATACAGGAAGTCTAGCCGTCTACATAGCTGGTATAAAATTATTCGTGGCTGTGCAGATTAATCTGGCTTTGAAAAAAATGACACTCTAATGGCCAATTTTCTCCAGACCATAAAATGCTGATTTACTGAACATACCAGATGTATTTTCACAAAATTGCAAAAATGAATGAATAATCATTTCCAGATTTCTAGCACCAGCTGTTAAGCATTTCAAACTGTGCAAATCCATAGAAAGAAAAATGACCACAGGTCAGCTATTCCCCCCCCCGCAAAAAAAAACCTTATATCATTCTCAGAAATGCTGCAGTGAAGCACTGTCTGCCAGCCATCAGCCAGATATCAGGTGGCTTTTGTCTCCTGTATGGTGTAATGACGTCAGTCCACTAGGCAGCAGCCAAGCAAAGGATGGCTTTGGCCTTCTGGAGATTCCAAAAGGCTCTGTAGATGTTACTACAGTATAATGGCAGATGCAGAGGGAAATAGGATTTCTTGTGGGAAGTTGGTTACAGGATGCATTCTTGCAAGGTGTATGTGCTCCCAGTGACTCTACCATACATTAACTGGTGAGGTCTCTGAATGTACAGGGTTGGTGGACTCAGCAAGCCACTGTCCAGCCAGACTACAGAAAGGATTTTAATGTGTGAGTGCACATGTGTGAATGTGAAGAACACAATTAGTCAAAGAGAAACGGCAGAAAAACTCTGAAAGCAAAAGAACAAAAGGAATCTGAATATAACTAATGAGAGACCAAGGTCTGTTGACTAGGTGGAGGCACAGAGGAAACCAAGAGACAAAAATTTTGTGGCCCTTTGGAGACTTGTCGCTATATTTTAATGTGAGCATTTGTGAATTAAGTCCATTTAACCTTAGTAGTCTATTAAAAACAATTAATTACTAATGCATAGAATTTATTACTAAGAGTACATGAGAAAATACTATTAACAATACTTTCAAATCCTTACTAGATTATAGCAAATGAATTTGTTCAATCATTTCCCTTCCTCATCCTCGCTCTCACAGATTGTTGCAAAATCATGACATCAGGAAGGCCATCTTATTTTACTTACTCAGCAAAGTAGTAGTAAATCAGTGTACTTAACACTGTACCATCAGAGAAGCTAAAAAAAATCCCATACGGATATACCTACCCTACAGATCTACTCAGCAGAAATCTGATACTACTTTTCTAGGGGAAAATCACTCCTAGAATAACAAAATTTGAATAGAGAAGGCATGGAAGAGAAGGATGAGTAACACCTCCCAGTGGCTGCCATTTAAAATTGCTTTTCACTGTTTTGTTAAATGTGTAACAAACCAAAATCTTACTGCTGCTTCATACTATATCTGACCCAATGAATCAACTGTTCTACACACTGCAGATATGTAGGGTCCCACTTTTTCAATGAGTCTACTCTAGCTGGGATTAGCAATTGGATTTAGACCATATTAAGGACCTAAATTAGGATAGAAATCGATAGATATGTAGGCAGCACTAACCTTTCTTAAGTTTTACATAATTAACCAATCTATGGCACTACCTAAAATTATATCCTTACCGTATCAATTCCTAATGACATTCTATCAAACACAAAGCAAACTTCCCAAACCTGCTGGTTTCCAAGATGACTGCTCTTTGGCTCAGAAGTACAGTTGTCTAAGCAACTGGTATGGCTCTACTGAAAAATACACAAGGTTCTGTAGTGGGAGGTGATCACAATCCTACATCAATCTTGGGAAAATTACAAGAACATCCTTGTGACGTTCTTTGCTCACAACACATTTGATTTACATTTCAATGCAGGAGACTTAGTAGTAAGCAGAATGAAAGTCAATCACATCTCACTCTCAAGGACAGCAATAGAATGCCACAAAGAAAACTATACAAGGCAACCCACCCCTCCTCCATCATCTCTCTGAATTGTGACATAAGAATAAAGTATTTCCATGAAGCTTTACCCTATCTGATTTGCATTTCAATAAGAATGAATGAATGTGAATTCAGAAGTTTTGCAAGAGAACTTCATGAAGCTGTTAGATGCAGGCAGGCAGGACTTCAATATTTATGCAGATGAAGCAAAGATTCCACAAATGATACTTTTTAATAGTATAACAGCAACAAAATATCTTTTTTTAAAAAAAAATCACTGATACAGTTAATGGAAATAAATTCATTCAAAGATGCACCTTTGTTCTTTGAAAGACAGCTTTAGGGTCCAGAGTCTTGGTCTTTCCAGGATTGTTTTTATTGGTTTTAATCCAACAGATATCTTCACATCTTCTAAAACCCCATTTGCGCAAACACTGAAACATTTAGAACAAGGTAAAGAAAGAGGTCTGTACAATATAACAAAACAAGGAAATAGTTTGATGGATTTAGGTGCCCTAACCGGACTGATGGAAAGAGACGTCTCCACTCCCTCCATCGTCACTTCACTCATTCTGGATTCCCTGCTGATTAGGAGGGATGCAATGCAGGAGGATCCAGAAAAGTTGGATAGAGGCATTGCTGGATAGGTGTTTCTGCCCGATATGGGGAGGGGGGTGCTGTACCCTTCCTCTCTAGAGCACAACCTATTCCATTTAGCAGGACCCTCTGATCCTGTAACAATATAGAATATTCAGGAGCTAAAAACAAGGAGCTCTGCTTCTGCCAGCACAGCTGCCCACACCCAGATCTGGGTCTAACCCAGTATGCTTCAGTTCATCAACTGTGCATTCGCAAAAGACAGAGCCATCTCTTCCAAGTTTTTAAGCAACGACTTGCTACAACATCTGAATTTACCCCTTTGAAATCTCCACTGCAATTAGGCTGTGGACATCTCTACTAAAGTGCATGTATATGGTGGGTACATGCTAGCCTTTGTTTGCAACTATTTGATAGCTAACATTAGCATACACATACTTACAGATGATCTTGCACATACTTGCTTTGAAAATAAAACTTAGAGAGTTTAATGGGGCTTGTTACTATGTATATAACTAACTGCAGTTTTAATGGCTTTATGCATCACTACATCCATGTTAAGAGACTGTTCTTAAGACACTTCAAGAAAGAGCGCATCCGCTCTCTGTTAGCAGACCAGCAGTGGGTGAGATAAGTTCTTAATTTAGCAGGAAAAATATTTGTGTTTGTTTTAACTGTAAGCTACTGTTTCAGATTCTTGGGATAAAGGCATGATATGAATCTAATAACATTAAATAAATAAATGCTTAGGACATCAAAGCCTCCAACAACTCCTTCAAAAGAAAACACAAGAATTTGCCATTAAAAAGCAGTGTGGTCCTGGAGAAGCTTCAAAACACTTAGGTCAAAAAACCTATGTGAAATACGGAAACCATACAAGTGGTTTTCAGTGTTTGCTGGCTAACCATTGCACAATCAACTACACATCTAAAGCATGAACACATGGGCAACAGCCAGCCAGCAAGAGAGCATCCATGGTTTGTGTGGGTGCGCAATGTTCCTAGTGTGCAACAGGACTCTAGTTCTAAAGTTAAATGGGAAATTAGGTACACTGAAACAGTGCATGACATTTTTGACAATCGTTCATATGGAAAATAAAGGTTAACATAAACATTCATATTTGTCATAATCCATTACTAGAGTACAGTATCTGTAAAATAATTGTCAAAAACAAATGTTCTGTTCAGGTCATGTCTTCATAAGTAAGCCAAACATGGGTATAGGGAGCAAGGTTATGCCTGGTAGCTCTACCCCAGATTATGCACAGAAGTCTCTAGTCTAGGGAAACACCTTTGCAGTTATAGCCTAACTCTGAGTACAGTTCTGAGATAAGCTAGAATACCAGGGTAAAGGGACTGCTCATCACATGTATTAGTTACTCAGAGTAGCCCCTACTGAAGTGACACATCAATATGGCACCTGACTAGGGCTAGGTTTGTCTTACAAATTCTGAAGAATTATACGACTTAAATATCATTGTAAAGCATCCTCTTACCACTCTGCCAAGATCCAGACCCTCCCCAGAACCACACCAAAGAAAGACAAAGGATCGCAAGTCAGCAATTTCTTCAATGTCTAGCTTCATAATCTACAAAAGGTAAAAAAGGTAATGTGTTCAGAAAAAAATATTAAATAAGCACGTTGTGCCATACAGCTAGAAATACTTTGTTGATCCCAATAAGCAATTCTTTTTCAAATGCATTATTTCTTCCAGTAGATGCAGCAATTTTCAAAATGTTCCAGTCTGTCCTTAGACCAAACAAAACTGCTACATAAGTCATTCCTCATGTACAGTATCTGTCCTTGATGTAAATGTAAACTGAAATATTTCAGTTAAATTATTCAGTCTTAGACCAGGCTAACATAAGCCAAACTCCTTACACTGTGATTGTTACTGGCTTCAAAAAAGGTGAAAAAGTATTTCCATCCTCCAATTCACATCTCTGATGAATTATTTTAGCATAATGCCACTTCATTCTAGCAGAAATGTGCCTTGCTCCACATTTTAATTCATTCTTATAAAAATCTCAAAACAATAACAAGTTATTCTTTCTTACATAATGCTTTTAAAAAAAATAGCTACTGGTGCTCTTCTATCTCAGAAGTTCACTTATATGGCGATATAGAGTAGTCATTCTACTATCCAACAAAAAGCAAGTTAAAATCAACAGGCATCAGATTCCCCACCACCAATTATTAATGCTTTATTATTCTAGAAGGGAAATGCTCTTTTGGCTAAGATTTCTACTAATCATCATTAATGCCCCAATTAGTCAGATGTTTAGTCCTGACACATTCATTGCCTGAAATCCTGCTGCTTAGCACAGTAAGTCACAACTAGAGTACACCCATTTGAATCAGTGGAACATACAGAGGAGTTGACGCACCAAATCCCCGCTCATTCAATGGACCTACTCAATGCAATTTACTATGGTAACACAGTACATTTCAGCCATTGTCTCAAAGCTTGAAGATGTTGTTCAATGACAACTCCTAAGATTCCCAGCACACACCACAGAGAGGCAATCTGAGAGACTCATTGAGATTCTGGCAAAGAGCGATCCACTGCAATCCAGATAGGGGAGTGTACCCTAACCAATGAATGGGTAGACACACCTATCTTAAATTCCTGAAAAAAGATTGGACAAGAGTTTGGCAATCCACACTGGACAAGAAAACCCCATCAACACCACAGGTCATGCTTAGTTATATTTTTCCACAACAAACTCACATCATCCCAAGTCCAACATTTCTCATTAGCTGTAATGCCTGTCTCCCTGTAGTACTCTTCTAGTGGTGGCTCCAAAAGAATCACATCAAACGTGGATTTGAGTTCCCGGGGATCAAAAGCCTCTAGGTCAGCTTGTAAATACCTGTCCAGGGGACAAAATGCTTAAATCAGTATCTTCTGTTTTGGTAACTTCTTAGCATCCATTAACAAGGATAGAGATCTCATGAACTTCCACATGCTGGATGAGTATTTTTGATGTAAATGGAGAACAACAATACACTTTCTGAGAATACAGTTGCTAGGTGAACCCACACAAACTTTTCATGATTTGTAAATAAACTTACCATCTTTTCAATATGTCCAGACATTTTAAGTCTGCAAGCAGAACTAGCTACCTGTTAAAGGTATGAAAGACGACAACAAAATTGCTACTCAAACCAGATTAAAAACTTAATGTGGGAGCAGTGCTTTTGAAAGCAGCATAATTATCAATATAAATCAATTTAAATCTCCCAAAAAGTCAATTGCTCCAGAACATCAATCAGCAGGTTTTTCCAGATCCTTTGCTCACAGAAAATTGATTAGACGACTATGTGGGCAGCTTTTTAAGGAGGACTGCAGGGATTAAAATGATTCCTATTACAGATGATTGACACATTATAATAGTCTCATTTCCTACTGGATTAGTCTATGAGAGAGGAATCTGGGTTAGCTTTCAACAACAATCAGGGTCTATTGAGGAAATACAACTTTAAACACATCAGTTAAGCCACCAAATCTAATAACCAAAACAAAATGTATTCATTTCTTTGAAGTTTACATTGCTTATTTTACCAATGAACCCTTGAAATAGAATACACATGTGTTATGCAAGTGCTGAAAGAAAGGCTCTTAGTTTGTACAAAGCTAAAATTAACATGCAGAGAAAAGAATGCAGACCTCTGCATGTACTTACATAGGAGGAGTGTTAGATTTAGATATTAGCTCATCCTTCAGCCTGATGAGCTCCCGGAGCTTTGGATATTCTTCAAATCTGTCTGCTAAGCCTGAGGGGAAAACATGCAAATGTTATGCTACAGAATTAAACTTTCGTTAACAGGTGGCTATAATGAAAGAGGCCCAATATCACAGACTGGAACAATGTGTTTCCTTTTTTCATGGTCTAAACTCAGTTGCACAATTAAGCCAAACACATAGTAAGAGTTTGGCCAGCCATTTCAGTGCAGACATTTTTCCCCAATCTTTTTTTAAACAATAGTGACTTATGTCTTTACACTACATTCCAATACATTATGCAAAATGATAACACTACACAAAGTAATTTTTAACACTATTCTATTGCTTGAAAGCAAGATAAAAATGTAATAAACACATGGTTCAAGTCTTTTTTCCTGTTTTTGGGAGTTTGTCTGCGCACGCATGCATGAACGTACCCACATCTCTGATGAAATTCTGAGGTCTGTGTCCAGTATCCACAAAGTGCTGGCAGTAATCATTATGAGGATTTAAGCTCTGGGTCCCCTACAGAAGAAAAACAACAAAACAAAGATCAACCAGCTAAGGCACCTCGCAGACATCCTAAATTAATAATAGTGCTATTTGTACATGGATGACCCCACCCCACCCCCAATCTCATGCCTATAGTTTGGCTATATTATTTTCAGGTCTTTTTCAGATAACTGATCTATTATTTAAATCTATTACGCTGAACATTTGCTAATGTCCCTTCTCTGCAACAAGGAGAAGTCAGCTTAGCTAGACACATATTGTAACAATCTTTATTTATCATGATCCAGAGAGCTAACTAAGCAAAAGAATAACAATTTTGTCAGATAACATGTTTTGTTTCCAAAAAGTTATTACATTGTACACTGTTGCAGCTTTAGTATTTGAAGCAAGTCACACAGGTTAAAATTGTTTTTAAAATTAAACCACCTTAATGAGGGCTCTGTTTGTTCATCCAAGAAATACCCCAGAATGAGCTCACAAAACTTGATCACCTTAAGGAAAGTACTGGAATCTTTGTAAATTTCTTCTTCATATGGCAGGTTCTCCTCATCTTGTTGCAGCTCTACTTCATCCTTTGGAATAAAGCACATTTTATACGCATGTAGAGACAGGACGTTTATCTTCTCATTATCTCTCCGCTTCTTAATGAAGGAAGAAGACGGCTGTCTATGAACATTAGCCTCCTGCAACAGCAGATCATGAGTAGTTCCAATGCAAGTTTGGGAAAACAGAACAAAATCTGAAGCTCCTGCTGTCATCGCTGAAGCTAGCAAGTTGATTAGATTTTACCAGAAATAATGCTTTATGCTGACTGCCATAAACGAGGACCAAGAGTCAGAAACTTTATACATTACATATCACACACTACTATTTTTTTCTCATTGGAAATAAAGTGAATTATTTTGAAATATAACTCGGCAGCTACAGATTCCTGGCATTTAACTACGGTTCTCTAATTATAAGGCAAGTCACTTCACTGGGGATGGCAAAATGCAACCTGCAAGGATGGGGGGGGAGGAGCATGATGAATTCCATAGCTGGCACTGGCAAAACGTTCCCCATGTCTTTGATGTCACCATTATCTTCTTGTCCAACGAGACCTGGCAGGGGCAGTATGAAAGTGCCCAAATATAGCAGGGGGGCTCTAGGGGGGAAATCAGCAAACAGCAACTGGAAGAAGTAACTGTTGAGATTTTGATCTCAAAATGCATTAAATATAAATGCTACATCGTGAAAGTAAAATGGCCCATTTTACCCGAGTCATGTGCTAAGTGTAATCAGGTGTGGGTAGCAATGGTTAAGGACTTGATGTTGTACAGCTGTAAAAATGATGTAATCTTATGTAAGTAGAAAACAAAGTCACTATTTTCTGATTGGTCCCAAGAATGTATATCAGTCATGTGTAAAGGGGACATTTTATCTGCTGTAAGTCAGATCACTTAGTTCTATGCTATGTATTGTAGCATGTTATGATGCTAGATGAATTTCTATTCTCCCTGTATATATGTTAATAGACTTCAGTTGGTATTTTACTCTGTGTTATAGTGTCTTTGCAACCCGATATCTCCTAACTCTGCTTATGTCCTGAGAATACATATTTCACCAAAATTATCGACAGTAACCACTCAGCTCACTTTCATCAACAATCAGATAGGTACGTGTCTCTTGCTTCATTCTACCTCAATGTAACAATGCCTTTAAGGAAAAGGTGTTCCCCTAACACAAGCATTAGAAGAGGATTGCATCATACAGGCACTGTGATCCAAGAGTCAAGAGACTAAAATGGGAATGTCATCATCTCACATTTACATATTTGGGAACTACTGCACGAATTCCCTTACAAATGTTCACATGATAAGTGTCTGTTGTTGAAAAAGGCACCATGTCACTGCTTCCTTACTTTGTATTCTTCCACATCCTCTTCATCAGCCTCCCCTTCGTCTGTGTTTGCACATTTGCGTTTTGCATTTGGTGCAGATGTATCATAAGCAGCCCTGGAAATATGAAGATAACAACATACTAATCCAGAACATGTTTCATACATATGGTCTGAAAAATAGCTCTACTCTTGCTTCCCTCAAAATTAGGATCCTGCATTTATTCTCCTCTCATTTGCTTTGGTACATTTCTTCTTCTATGGCACATATGTTTCCTTTTGTGAAATGAGCAAATACTCCTATTTTGCAGAATATTTCATTGAACAGTGCAATGAAACTCTGATTTATCATGGATATAGTGTAAATTCAAACCGATTTTAAAGAACTTATTTTTAAAAGTTCTAAATAATTGTCAGATATTATAGTAATGAACACATCATTGTTTTTCAACTGTTCCTGATATTGTTCTTCAGAAATTGATCATTCTACTTTGCTTAAGTTGGTTGAAGGTAAAATTAACTCAGGTTCTTTTGCACAGCAGCAGTTAGCATTCTTTCTCCAACCAAAATACTTCCATTATGAGAAATGTTGACAAATCCTCTGCACAAACCTGCATGTTTCTCTTGTTTGAGCAATTTCCCTCTGCTCATCCTTGCTATTCAATACAGCACCAATGCTATCCGCACTTTCTGCCCCAAGCTAAAAGAAATACAAAAGAAATATAATTAATAATGAAGCCAAAGATAAAAGATCCAGTATAAGCACAAAATACTTTGAAGTATGCATACAGATTGGAGGTTTTGGACAATGCCACCAAGGGAATGCCGCCTACAGAATTCTAGAAAGTATAGTTGAAAAATAAAGATCTCCATACCTGTGTAGTACTTTAAAACGTCTAATCATTAGAAGCAGAAATAATTGACTTATGCAAGTTTAGAGGTAATTATTTCTATTTTAATTTTGAAAGGTACACCGAGGTACACCAAGGACTTTGTGTACCTTGGCTCAACAATCTTCTAGATGTCGAGCTGGATAAACGCATTGGCAAAGCAGCTACCATGTTCCCTAGACTCACAAAGAGAGTATGGCTTAAGAAGCTGACAGCATATACCAAGATCCAGGTCTATAGAGCCTGTGTCCTGAGCACATTCCTGTACTGCA